ATGGCAATCCCGGCAATCCCGGCAGTCCCCGCTGTCCCAGCTGTCCCAGCTGGCTCAGCAGGAAAACATGTCCCAGAAGGGAAAACCGCCCCAGTAACCACTTCAGCTGCTCACCCACAGGAATGGAACCTTCCAGGAATCAGCGATGCAGCTGGCCCGAGCAGCAACTGCAACCTGGGGTTCCTGCTGGGGGTGCTTCTGACTCCTCCCGAGAGGGAGGTGGTGCTGTCACGACTCTTCCAACTGCAAGGTGCCCTGGGAAACAGAGCCCAGTTGAATGACATTGATACCTGTACCGACCTTGCCCCAGGCCTTGCTTCAGGCCTTCCCGCAAACCTTGCCCCAGACCTTGCCCGTGGCCTTGCCACAGGCTTGTGCAGTAGGAGCGGCAGCGGCAGCTTTGGTGCGGCTTCAGGCACGGGGGACCAGGCTCGTGCGGCGAGCATGGACTCAGGCGTTGCTCATGTTGCTGCTGCTGCCGCTGATGCCAGTGGTGTTAGTGGTGATGCTGCTGCTGCTGCTGCTGCTGCTGCTGCTGCTGCTGCTGCTGCTGCTGCTGCTGCTGCTGCTGCTGCGGCTGCTCCTACCGCTGCAGCTCCTATCGATGCTGCAGTTCCAATCGCTGCTGCTACTCCTGCTGCTGCTGCTGCTGCTGCTGCTGCTGCTGCTGCTGCTGCTGCTGCTGCTGCTGCTGCTGCTGCTGCTGCTGCTGCTGCTGCTGCTGCTGCTGCTGCTGCTGCTGCTGCTGCTGCTGCTGCTGCTGCTGCTGCTGCTGCTGCTGTCGACTCTGTGCTTGATCCACTTGCATCTGGTAACACATCTTTCACAAGAACAGCAGTGCTGGATTCATCAACCAGCTTTGCAAATGAGGTGAGTGAAATGGGAGCCAAACTCTTCTGTAGCACATTCAGCTGAATTTCTCTGTGTGTCACCCCTCCCTCTCCTAATCATCTCGCTTGTGTGTTCGTTGTCATGTTCGATTGTTTGTTATGTGTGTGCGCGCGCGTGTGTGTGTCTGTGTGTGTGTTTTTTTTTTTGTGCTGCTGATCTCCTTTCCTCTTCTTACCCCATTGTTCCTTCCTTCCTAACCCTGTTCACGATCGGCTTGTTTCCAACTGGCAGTTATTGGAGCAAGCAGACACAGCAACGGACATCCCAGCCCATCTTGCTACATCCCACCCTGAATCATCCTCCTACTTTAACCCATGCCACCCTGAATCATCCTACCTGAACCCATGCCATCCTGAACCAAGAATACCAAGCACTGACATCTGGTCTGACTTGGGTTCAACAATTCCAAGCACTAGCACGCTGAGTCAAGTGGAATTAACCATCCCAAGTACAAGCATGTGGTCTGATTTGACCAACCCATCTGTCATACCCTCCCCTGCATCGGCGATCGAGACAAAAGATTCGAATTCGCAGGAATCTCTGGAATTTCACCTGATCGGGCTTGACGCGTCGGACGAGCCACCCTTCCTGACCGAGACTTCTGCACTTGGAACGGCTTTTGATGCGCCTCAAAACTATTCCCGCGAGCCGCTGGAGTGTCCTCCGATCGGGGTTGGATCATCTGATTGGTCTGACTCGCTGATGCTACTGACTGACACCGCTGGGCTTGGGGTGCCTGGAGTGCCGATTCAAGGGCTGGGAGATGAAGGCTGTAAGGAGGTGGGCGCTGGGATCTGTAGCAGTGCTTGTTTAGATGATTGGCCGGTGTTCGGGCAACAGTTGGATGATTTTTTTTTAACGTCGTATTAGGACATTTGGGACTTCTCAAATATGAAAAATTTCTAAGCGTTTATCGCTTTCAAATTTGCGTATTGTGAAAGCGAAGCTGACTGTAATGCAATTTTGTGCATCGTCGAAGCGCGGTATTCGCCTTCTCCGAATATATAATGTGGGCTGGGGTCATTCTTCCCCCACCCACGTCTCTCATTTTACAATCGCTCAAGTTCAATTCCCGGTTCCGAGACCCATCCCGATTTTTTCGGAGGCTCCAACTCCCTCCCGATTTTTTCGGACCTCAACCTGGCGAGGGTGAAAACCCTTCCACGTTTTCAAGCACCATCTACCCTGCTATCGGATATTCTTAACTACAATCAAGCTTCGATGGCGCCGAGCGACAACGCCCCGTACCGTTCGGACAACGAGAAGAATACCCGTGAAATTACGGGAGATCGCCGCAACAAGCGGCGGGCGGACGACGAGGGTAACGCGCCCACTGGTGTCGACCTTTTGACGCGCAGTGGCGAAGTCAACAAAACCGCCAACCAGCAGCACCCCTCGGCACCTGTGGCGCCAGTGGCGCCAGTGGCGCCTGTGGCGCAAGTGGCGACGGCGGCACCTGCAGCACCTGTGGCGCCACACGCGCCCGACGCCGAGCACACGCCAGCACCTGTGGCTGGACCGTCGCGTCAGCGCCAGAGGCGCCGAACTGGGTCTTCGTCTGACGCGACGGCTGACCCCGTTTTGACTCCGGCGCTGACTGCTGACCAAGTCCAAGCGCTTTTGGCGCTGTTACAGCAGCAGCCACCGGCGGTTACGGCAACAGCGACAACAATTTCTGCATCTGCTAAAAACGCAAATGCAAGAAACGATTTGGCGCGTCACGCTCGCGCACACGAAGTCCCTCGCGCCGAAAGGGAAAATGCTGCTACTGCGGTGCCCAACAACAACAACGACGGCAGCGACTCAGAAGACGAAGCGGGTGAGGCTCATGCACACAACAACTTTCTTGCACCCGTTGAGCACCTTCCTCCACTCCCATCCACCAATCCCACCATTCCCGCCTCCTCATTTCACCACGCCGGAGTACGCGAGCAAGCGGAATTTCTGGAGGACCTGCGCGCGTACCTGAAGCACTCGGAGCACAAGATACGCCACGGCGACACTGCTGGCGCTCTTGAGCACTTCGAAGAGGCGTACGCCCTCATCGCCGATCGCTTCCAACTCCTTCAAGTCGCCGACGCCTCCGACTTCAAGACGGCGCACCGCTTCAAGCTGTACCAGCAGAAAAGTGTGCTGACTTCGCGCCCCTTCAAGCAGGCGCTCGCGGATGTGGCAGCGATGAACCGCGCCCAAGGCTCCTATGGTCGCGGTTCTTCCCTTGGAGGCCGAGGCCCCACGGGGTTTGGTGGCAAATTCGACATGGCTCCTGGCTGCAATCCAAAGGGCTTCCGCGGCACCTGTTTCCGCTGTGGCCAGCCAGGCCACACTGCCAACGCATGCCCTGCCGGTGGGCACGGTCCTCACGGACCCGCGCCGGTAGTTTAAACTCGACGGGGCGGCTATTGGCCTTGCCCTTGGGCTGGTTTTTATTGCCGTTTGGCTAAGGGGAAAGACCTTTGGGGTCTAAGGCGTTTGCCTAGAAGCTCTCTAGAGCATCATGAAGTTGATCTCTTCCCGTTTAGTTTTGCTGTGAAAATGTTTCTAAAGGGAATAGACCATTGAGGGTCTAAGGGCGCTTGCATAGAAGTTCTTGATAAGCTCTATGGAGTTGCTCTTTCTAATTATAAATTTTTGTTGTGCATTTTGTTGTGAGAGTGAAGAGAAGCCTTACTAAAGGATCTCCTGGTTGCTCTTCAGTTTTTCTCACGCCACGCCTCAAGGAGGCCTTTTGAGGGAGGCAATTGAAGCCTCGAGAAACTTAATCTCCTAACATTAATTTGAAAAACCAAAGGGCAAACAACCTTGCCATGGGCTGACACATAAAAGAAATGGCAGAAGTTGAGAGAGAGAGAGAGAGAGAGAGAGAGAGAGAGAGAGAGAGAGAGAGAGAGAGAGAGAGAGAGAGAGAGAGAGAGAGAGAGAGAGAAAGAGAGAAAGAGAGGGAGAGGGTGAGAAAGAGAGAGAGGGAGGGTGAGAGAGATAGAGAGAGAGAGAGAGAGAGAGAGAGAGAGAGAGAGAGAGAGAGAGAGAGAGAGAGAAAGAAAGAGAGAAAGAGAGAGAAAGAGAGAGAAAGGGAGAGGGTGAGAAGGTCGAGAAATGGAACCACGGAATGGGGGGAGTGCTAGCCCTGGTCTCGTGCTTACAAGAGGGGTTATCCCACTCGAGCGTCAATGCTTGCTTGGTTAAAAAAAAAAAAAAAAAAAAACGCTAACGGTCATGTGTTGCATTTTCGTATACTGCCATGTGCAGGCCTGCCGATGCATGCCTTGGGGCAACCAGACGACCCTTTCGAGTACGCAGTGACGGATAGGACAACTTTCGTCATGCGAGGGCGCTTGCGATCCGCACTGGCTTGGTGGCGAACATGGTGTACGAGCAGTCTTATCTTATCAATTATCGAACGAGGCTACTGGATGCCGTGGAAACAAGGACCGCCACGACCATTTCAGTGCTCCAATCATGCTGGAACCCATGCTCACACGGATTTTACGCGATCAGCCATCATAGACCTTCTTCAAACTGGCGCAGCAATCGAGGTGCCAGCATCGGAGCTTGCATGCATTAGCCCCATCAACGTCGTCGAGCAGCGAGACAAGTGTCGCCTCATCCTAGATTTACGCAAAGTTAATAACGAGCTGTGCATTCCGAAGTTCAAGTACGAAGGACTATCTCGCGTGGCGGAACTTGCACATCCGGGGGATTGGATGTTTTCAATTGATCTCAAGTCGGGTTACCACCACGTTGACATCCACGCATCCTGTTGGAAATTCTTGGCCTTCAGTTCGAGGGGCGTTCGTACTGTTTCAGATCACTTCCGTTCGGACTAGCGACAGCGCCTTTCGTCTTTACTCAATTGATCAAGCAGTTGGCACGTCGATGGCGAGCAACAGGGGTCCGCGTCATTCCCTACGTAGATGACATCCTCTTTCTGTGCCACACAGAAGGCGCGGCTCGAGATGTCTGCTCCCGCACGATCACGGACCTAAGAGAAGCGGGCCTCGTGATCAACGCCAAAAAGTCTCATCTCCATCCTACTCAGCAGCTAAGATTCCTAGGATTGGAGCTCGATACCCAACGAGGACAGTTTTCTGTCGGCACCGAGCGACGAAGCGTCCTGCAATCCACCATCGCCTCATTATTGGCAGCAGGACGTGCACAGCACAAAGTCCCAGTACGGCAAGTCGCGCGCATCACAGGCATGCTCGCCTCCATGACCCTTGCTCTTGGGGCGACAGCGCGAGCATTCAGTCATGCCTTACTACAAACCATCAACGATGCGTCTTCATGGAACAGCAGGTTGTTACTGTCCCCGAGTGCTTGCGAAGAGTTGGAGTTCTGGTCAACCGAGTTCGACCACTTCAATGGAGCCCCATTTCATGTTCGTGGTAGCTACGACGCTATCATTCACGTCGACGCCAGCGCGCACAGCTGGGGGGCCACACTCGACACATTCTCCACGACGACTCATAAGGCCTGCGCGAACATGCCCCTGGAACTACCTGGCCCATCCAGTACTCGTCGTGAATTAGAAGGGGTGCTCTGGGCGCTGCAAACTTTCACCAGCTTCATCCAGAACAAGCATGTGCTCGTGCGTGTCGACAACCAGGGCGTATTCTTTATTCTAAAAAAGGGTGGATCACGCAACAGTTTTCTCACTTCCGCATGCAAAGCCATCATCCGCACCTGCATGACTCGTCGCATTCGCTTGATCATGGAATGGATACCTCGCGAGCTTAACACGCTCGCGGACGAGCTCTCGAAGACTCTCGACCGAGATGACTACACCTTGAAGGCCCCATGGTTTAATCTTCTCGAACGACGTTGGGGGCCGCACTCTATAGATCTCTTTGCCAGTGCTGCGAATGCCAAGCTCCCCCGATTCTACTGCGAACACCCACATCCCAAGGCATTAGCGATCAATGCCTTCGCAACATCCTGGGCTGACGAACATGGTTTCGCTTTTCCACCACCACAATTGATCCCGGCAGTCCTTCACCACGCACAAAGGACATCAGCCTCACTGACACTCATCGTCCCCTTCTGGCCCGGGGCTAGTTGGTGGCCACTACTCCAACCCTCGCCACCCGCCTGGGCCTCGCCGATCCGTGATTGCCTGAAACTTACTCACGGAAGCCAATGCCTCGCACCAGGCACGCACACCTCAGCATTCTCGGGTTCCGGCCTCCCCCATAGCATGATGATGGCCTTGCGCATCTCCTTCCGTTAACATATTCTGTTTGCGTCCTCTCTTATCGCTTCAGGATTACTCCGCTCGCTGCAGAGCCAATTGCTCACAATGATGCTGCAAACACGTGCGAAATCTACGATCAAGACTTACGAACCATATTGGCAGCAGTTCCGCTCATTCTGCATCAAGCCTAAATTACCATTCCTGCCCGCACAAGATATGACACTCGCGCTGTACCTCGTCTACGCCATTCGCCACCAAGCCACCTTCTCAGTGGTGCAACTCACTTGCTCGGCGGTTGGTTTTGCCCACCGTATGATTGGGGCCGCGTGCCCTACCATCGGCCCAATGACATCTCAAGTCCGAGAATTTGCCAAGCGCCACTGCCCTCGGCCCCACCGGACCAAGGAACCAGTGTCTCTTCACCAAGTGCACGCCATGGCCGCACCCTTCATTGGCTCGGACGACCCATCCACCTTTCAAAAAGGACTCATACCGCTTCTCATGTACGCCGGCTTCCTGCGGTATTCGGATCTCGCCGCCATCTGCTGGAACGATATCCAGTTTGAAGACGATGCCATGTGGCTACTCATCCCGCGCTCGAAGACCGACCAAGAGGGGAAGGGCTCATGGGTGCCCATTGCCGCAAGCCAGGGACCCTTCTGCCCCGTTCGATGCACCAAGCACTTCATCCAACTGGCAGGATATGGTCCTACCACACCGGGGCCATTAATCCGAGTGTTTGGTTTGGCCACGAGCGACACACTTCCCGTCAAACCACCATCGTATACCACAATACGCAATTGGTGCAGGGAAGCTTTCCACGCCATCGGCCTCGGCGACCACGCGCTCGGCACCCACTCCTTTCGCAAAGGAGCGGCAACTGTAGCGGCAAACGCAGGAATTGAGGATCGGCTCTTCAAACAGCTAGGTCGATGGCGCAGTGAAGCGGCCAAGGAAATGTATGTCACCCCCACCGCCGACCGTCTGATTGACGCCTCTCGCAACCTCCAATCAACGGCTCATGCGCCATCACCAGCACAACATTCCAGGGCCCTCAAGCGCCGCCGTCACGCCCCCTTGCACATGTCTCAGCGTCACCCATTGTAATGAGAACGATGCCAATTGCTACACAAGCAAGCTTTCTCAATATGAAAAATTTCTAAGCGTTTATCGCTTTCAAATTTGCGTATTGTGAAAGCGAAGCTGACTGTAATGCAATTTTGTGCATCGTCGAAGCGCGGTATTCGCCTTCTCCGAATATATAATGTGGGCTGGGGTCATTCTTCCCCCACCCACGTCTCTCATTTTACAATCGCTCAAGTTCAATTCCCACCCACCCTCCCCGTGCTAGTCATCTTTTGAGAGTAGAAGAAGTTCTTAGATATTTTGGATGTGATAGTATATTATTATAATTGCTAGGAACCATTGTACTTGAGCCCATTGTAATGAGAACGATGCCAATTGCTACAGAAGCAAGCTTTCTCAATATAATGGATTGGGTAACAACCGAGACCTGTTATCAATATCTTAATAATTTGAGAAGCATCATTTGAAGAGCCGACATGGCATGCACAGAAAACTAATGTTTGAAACTTGAAGTGTGGTATGAGGATTCACCGTTTCGCCAACCTGCTTCTCATCTTGCGGATTATGACACCGTATTACTATTTTCGCACATGCCAAGTGTTTTCGTCAAGCCCTAGAATTTTTCCAAAACCCGGTGCGCACTTGCTCCCCTTTACTAGCCCTCGTCATTATAGTCACCACCTACACCATCTGTGCAGTGTTGCACATCAAGCAATTCACTACTAGCAGCAGAGCCCCCTCGTGGGGTTACCACACCAGGTGTTACACACCCAGTTGCTGCCTTCATCTCCCCAATCAGCCCATAAGCAGCACTATTTATTTCAGCCACCCGCTTTTCTTTTGCCCGAAGCAGTGTGGTGTAGAGGGACCGGGCAGCTTCCAGCTCTGAAACTTTTGCAGCTGCCCGACGCCGCTGGGCGCGCATCCGGGCAGCAGCTTCATTGCGGGCAAGCTGAGCTTGTTCCAGGGCAGCTAGGGCAGAAGAGCGGGCAGAAGAAAGAGATGCATCACCTGCACCGTCCACTTCAGCTGTCACTGCACTTCTCCCCCCCACCTCCTCTCCTTCAGCAGTTCCCTCTCCCACCTCAGTCACTCCCTCCTCCCCCTCCCCCTCCCCCTCCTCTCCATTCCCCTCTCCTTCGACTTCGGCTGTCTTGCTTCCCTTGCTGCTGCCCTCATTTCCCCCATCAACCGTAACCACAACCCCTGCCTGGTTACCAGGACCCCCTTCCCCCTTTACAAGCCCCTCCAGACTTGTGTCATTATTCTCATTGTCAGTACATGCCATCTCCTGAGTCAACTCAAATGTCACCTGGTTATCAGCAACCCCTTCCCCCTTGACAAACACTTCCAAGCTTGAGCCTTTATTCTCTGTGTCAGTACATGCCGTGAGCCGTGCAACTTCCTTGGAAGCTTCCTCCAATGCAGCTTCGGCGTCTGCCAGGTCATCCTGGGCATCCAAAGCTGCAGCCACGGCGGCCTTAGCTTCGGCATGGCACTGTCGCCGAGCCTGCTTGGCTCGGGAAACCTCGTCTAACTGCAGAAGGTCCGGATGCTCCGAACAAATTGTTGTACTCTCGCCTTCATTATTGTCACCCTCGACACTGCCGTCCTTCTCACTGTCACGCTCGCTATTGGCACCATCAATTCGGTCACCCTCACCTTGATAGTCACCCTCATTCTTGTCACCCTCGCCCTTGTAATTGTCACCCTCGCCCTCGTTATTGCCACCCTCGCCCTCGTTATTGTCACCCTCGCCCTCGTGACAGTCACCCTCGCCATTTCTGTCATTATCGTTACTGTCACTATCTGCTGCTGCTGCAGCTGCTGTTGGTGTATCCTCTGCTCTTGAATCTTCTGTTGTTGCATCCGCCAGAAGTCCCTTCAAATCTTCTGCTGCTGTTTGTGTGGGTGCTGGCGAACGTTCCACTGCTGCTGCTGCACTTTCTATGGCTGCTGCTTCTTCTGCCGGTGCTGACTGTCTATCGCATCCCTCCACATGCACCCCAGACAAGCCTCCATCAGCTGCAGCAGCACTACCAACCACAGTGCAAGCAGATGCAACATCGGCATCAGCAGCAGCATCAGCATCAACAGCAAAAGCACCAGCATTAGCATTAGCAGCAGCAGCAGAAGCATCAGTATCAGCACCAGCAGCAGCGGCAGAAACATCAGCACCAGCATCAGCAGCATCACCACCATCATCAGCATCATTATCAGCATTTGCAGCAACCGCAACATCAGAACTCTGTGACGCAATCCCTTCCCCTTCGCCTCCCCCACCTCCTCCTACTCCTCCCTCTGCTGAAGTCACTTCGCTCGTCTCGCCACCATCACTCCTGTCATCCCCACTCCCTTCTCCTTCCCCTTTTCTTCTCCCTGAAACCTTCTCCCCCACGCCCACTGCCCCCACTGCCCCCACTGCCCCGGCTGCCCCAGCTGACGCCCCCACCACAGCACCATCAATGAGGGTCCTCCCACGTCCCTTCCTATCCAAGTACCCTGAAAACAGCTTCCCACCAGCCCCAACCCCACCGGCCCCCGAGGCAACTGCAGGTTCGCGCATGTTCAGCATCGAATCAATGTTGTAGAACCGCTTTCCGAGCCTGAACGGCAGGTCCGGCACAGCGTCGGTCGCCTCCGAAGCTATGGTGCCAGCATCGCTGTCAGTGCTGCAAGGGCTGGGCTCTCCTTCCCCACCCTCCCCCCTCTGCGCCTCCTCTTGAGTCGACTCAAAAGCAGGCTCTCCTTTCCCACCCTCCCCCCTCTGCGCCTCCTCTCTCCCTCCTCCTGCCTCTGCAGAGATAGGAACCTCATTTGCCCCTCGCCATTTCCCGCTCTCCTCCGTTTCCCCTCCTTCCTCCGCCAGAAGACCCCTTACTAAACTTTGACTCAGCCCAAAGGACCTCACTCCTTCCTCAGTGGTTGACTCTTCCCTCTCACATGCCCCTTCTTCTTGTTCAGATGCTATAACCTCTTTCCCAAACCCCAAGTCCACATCGCGCATGTTCTTCAGCAGTTCTTGATACCACTCCTCGTCTTCATCTTCCTCCTCCTCACCCTCCCCACCCGTCCCTCCCTCCACCCCCCCACCCAAACCACCCTCTCTCCCACTCTCCTCCCTCTCCCCCTTCCCCTCTCTCTGCCCACTCCTCTCCCCAACCCCCCGTTTCCTACCCTCAAACTCCCCCCTCATCTCCTCCTCTCCCTCCACCCCAACTCCAACAGACGAGTCCCAACCCCCACTAGACACACTCCAAGCATCACTCTCAATGTCTGTCTCAATTCCTGTTTCTGTCTCTGCAGGCATATCTGCATCCCCACCACCCATCTCCATCCCCCCTTCCAAACCCTCACCTTTTTCCATGCTACCCTCCCCACCTTTCCTTCTCACCTTCCTCCCCTTCTTTTCTCGCCCCCCTCGCCCCTCTCCAACCTCCAGTTCCTCCAAAAAAAGATTTATTGCTTCATTCAAGCTGCCCGAACCCTGCGATCCCAGGAGGGAACCAAGGCTAAGTTTCAAGCTGCCCGTGTCACTCCCACCTCCTGCTCCTGAGCCTGCTCCCGAGCCTCTTCCTACCGGACCTCCGGCTGGGGAGCCTCCTACCGAACCTCCAGCTCCCGAACCACCACGAACCAGCTTCTCTCCTGCCTTTGCTTCTCCTCCTCCTTCTCCCTTTCCCACTGTTGACACCCCTCCCAGTCTCGCTCCCTCCTCTCCACCCCCCTTCCTGCTGCCAATGCTCTCTTTGCCTTGACTCCCACCGGATCGCACCCTTCTCAACCTGGATCCACCATCTGAACCTTCAATAGATGATGCTCCTGCTCCTGCTGCTGCTGACGCTGCTGAAACTGCTGAAACTGCTGATGCTGCTGATACAGCTGATGCTGCTGATACAGCTGATGCTGCTGATACAGCTGATGCTGCTGATACAGCTGATGCTGCTGATACAGCTGATGCTGCTGATACAGCTGATGCTGCTGATACAGCTGATGCTGCTGACACAGCTGAGGCAAAAGATGCCGAGCCAGGATCCGCCCTACCTCCTCCTGTCACTAACTCCATCCGCCTCCTCTCCCTCCCCTTCTCCTTCTCCCTTCCTTTCCTCCCCTCCCTCCCACCCCTCTCGTTCCCACTGCCCCCACTTTCAAGGCTGCTTCGAGCCTGCTCCCGAGCCAAGTCAAGTCCGGAGCTGATCCGAGGCTGATCGTGGCTCGGCCCTAGGCTGGAGCTACACCAAACATGCTCCAGGGTTGGGTCAGTGCCGAAGCTGCTCCGATCCTCCTCAGAAGACGAGAGGAAGAGAGGGATGGGGAGGATGACGTCAGCATGGGGCGTCGGACGAATGGCGGAGTGACAGCTGGAGCTCGGAGGAAGGTACGGAGATGAGGAGGAGAGGAGGGGGGATGGGGTGGCGACAGAAGCTTCGTCTGCTGCAGAGCGTTTTCCGGGTGTGTTTTGAGTCGAGTCAATAGCAGCACCCACAGAGGCAGAGCCATCAGAGGCTGCAGCCACAGCAGCAGCAGGTGCAGCAGCAGCAGGTGCAGTGGTGGTGGCTCTGACAGTAGTCTCGACAGCAGCAGTCCCCTCATGTGCTGTGGGCTCACTTCCTTGCAGCACCTTACCATCCCCCTCTCCTGCGCCCCGTACCCCTCCTGCCGACGCTGCTGACTCTCCCACAGCAGCAGCAGCAGCAGGTGTCTGCAGCTTGACTGCAAACACGGAGAGAACAGGGATGGGTGCACTCATATCCACATCCCCATATGCTCTCACCCCACTGGTAGCAGAGACCCTCACCACACCAGCACCTCCTCTCATATTCAAATCAGACGCAAAGCCTCCAGTTGCGTCAATAATCTGTGCGGAAAGAGCAGCTTCTGTGACCTCCCCAACCCAGCCGGAACCCACACCCTCCACGCATTTGGTCAGCACTCTATGGCTGTGGTATGCCAGCTCTGCGGCTATATTCACACTCTCTATAAGCAACTCCACGTTCACTCTCCTGGTTCCCCCAAACTTGCTCCCCGCGAACCTGCTGCCCATCCTTCTGCCACTGAACCTTCCAGTTTCCCCTTTTCCAATTCCTCTACCCTCCACATTCTCGCTGCGCCTACCCTCTCCCTCCTCCTCCACCTCTTTCTCTTCCTCCTCATCCCCTTCCTCCTCATCCTCATCGCCCCCACCCCACATCCACTCTGCCTCTACCTTCTTGGCATGAGCCAAAGGCTTCATTGCTGCATGTCTCTCAAAGAGCAGATGCCTGGCTTTGGGAGGGCCCCTACTGCCAATCACCCCCCCCTTGCTGCTGCCATCCATTCCCAGTGCTTCCCAAGAAGCTTCCAATTCTAGCCGCCCGGCGTGCCGGGCAGCCTCAGAAGCCAATCGGAACGCTCCTCCAGCTGCCCGAGCGAGATCCTCCTCTGCTGTAACTGCCCCAAATTTTCCGCTCCATTTCCCGCTCCATCCCCCCCTTCCGTCTCCCCCTCTCCCCCTCGCCTTATCCCCCATACAAGCAGCCTCGGCCACTTGTAACTCAGCTATATGGCCCTGTAGCTTACGGGCGAATAGCGTCGCGCCATCTGTCATCGCGAGGAAGAACCTAGGAGCTCCACAGCCCTGGTTGGCAGCTTGCTGCAGCACAGCTAAGTGGCTCTTGAGTAAGTGTGAGAGGCGAGTGGCTCCCTGCACTAACGAGATGAGTCGCTCCTGTGTGCCTGATGGGAGCAACAACAATCAAGGGAGGAGTGTTAGAGAAGCGGACAGTTGTTAATTGAATGTTCCGGTAAAAAAAGTTTACACACTCACATACACACACTCACTCACCCCCTCCCACCGGCATGCCACAACCAGAGCGATTGCACGCACTACAGTGTGAGCCACCGCTGCCTAAGTGCTGCTCCTGTAACATGCTCACTCATTCACCCAATCCCACACCCACACAGTCAGCCGCTCACACTCTCACACATCTCAATCACCCTCGGATTGCAGGCCAAGTGCCAAGAGAAAGAGCAAGCTGCGGAGCATGCAGGACAGCGTGAGCCACCACTGCTGCTGCTCGCGCCGTCGTCACTGCCGGGAGAAGCTGTGAGAGTCTCAACATGCTTGCATTGCATGCCTTCACTCGCATTCATACGCACAAATGCATACCCACACCACACGCTTTCCCTCTCACCAGCGGATTGCAGGGCAAGGAAAAGAGCTGCCACTGTTACATGCTCATCACTCACCCACTCATGCACTCGCTTTGCACTCACCAGCGGATTGCGCGCCTAGGGAAAGAGTGATCTCCAGAGAAAGCGCATGCACCATAGTGTGAGCCACCACGGTTGCTGCTCCCGCCATCGCCACTGCAGGAAGAAGCTGGGCTGACGACCCTGCACTGCCAGCTGTAGCAGCAGATATAGCCGACGCATCAGCTGCCCTCACAGCGTCAGATGAAACCGCACCAGCAGGAGCAGCACCAGTAGTAGCAGCGACAGCTGTAGCAGCAGAGCCTATAGCAGCAGGAATGGCTGTAGCAGCAGCATCCGAGACCAGCGACTGTAGCACGGAGAGCAGTGCAGAGGCTTGCCCGGCCAAGCTAGAGGCTGTAGCAAGAGCTGTAGCACCAGCTGTAGCAGAAGCATTCTCAGGGTTACTACCAGCCACATCTGCAAGATCTGTGGCATTTCCTGTCAACGCGGCAGCAGCATTGGAACAAATGGAAGCACAGAGATCGCCAAAGAGAACAGGCCGAGAAATTCCCCCATCCAGAAACGGCTCCTTGACTTGTTCTCCCTCTTTTCCTCCTTCTGTCTGCTCCCCTCCTCCTCTCTCCCCTCCATGACTATCCACTAGCTCGCCCCTTTCCTCCCGTTTTCTACCTTGTCCCGAACTTTTGTGGTCGGATAATGGGGATGGTAGTGGGAAGGGCATGTTGTGATGGAGCAAGGACAGGAGGGTGACCTCTGCTGCTGCTGATGCTGCTGCAGAGGCAAGAGGGGGGACAGGGGTGTGGGAACCAGCATCGCCAGTAGCAGCAGCAGAACCGTCACTATCCCAAGCGTACACCCATCCACAGCAAAGCTCCTCCTCCCCTTCCAATCCCAACCCGTCACCACCCTTGCCGCTTCCTTCACTCCCTCTGCCGTCCCTTCCGCCCCTACTCTTCCCCCGGCTCCCCCAATTCCCCTTCTTTCCCCCACCAGTCTCCCCCCACACCTCCGCCACAGCACCCCCCAGCCTCAAGAGGCAGCGCAGCAGCAGCGCAGACACCACAGGAACAGCTGCTGCTGCTGCTATAGGCAGATGGGGTTTAAAGGGTCTCAGCAAGGGGATAGGCGCGGCTGCTGCATCAGTGGCAGAGTGGGCATGTGCAAGCCCCCTGTCATGGGAATGGGAAAGCACATAGAGCTGACTCAGCCGAGTGCGGATATCGGCCATGAGAGAGAGGGCCTCAGAGCACAGGCTAAGCCACGACACACAGAGAGTGCGTGCTGCTGTCACGGCACTGCCACTGCTGCCACTGCCCTGTTTGCTCCACACAGAGAGCCCTTGCTGTGGGGGGGACAGTGGGTTGTGATGCTGCGGTTCAGAAGCCCTCCCGTGCCCGTGTGCCTGTGCAGGGACTAGCAGGCCCATAGCAGCTTCTAGCTGCTGCAGGCGAGAGGTCAGCGAGGCGGGCAGTAGAGGCAGGGTGGGTACGACTGGAGCAGGGCAGTCTGAAAAGGAAGAAATGGGGGATGCAGCATTGGTGGAGGGCCGGTGCATGCCACAAAAGAAGGAGAAGAGAACTTTCAGCAGCCTGAGAGACAAAGCAGCGACACAACCCACGCTGTTCACTGCTGCTGCTGGTCCTGCTGCTGCTTCTGCTCCTGTAACACTTGTAACATCGGTAACACTTGTAACGCCTGACTTCCCTTTACCTGTTCCTTGTATGAGCCAATGTGAGTGAGTCACCAGCTCTTGCCCTGCATCCAGCAGCCAATACGCAAGTGCCACGTCAGCACCGGCAGGATCAGTGCAGGCAGCATGGCGGAGGCATGCGTCTGCCAGCCTGGCTAGCTGCGTGTCCAGGTCAGCTGCCACATCAGCAAGGGCAAGGGCGAGTGAGTGGACGGTGGCATGTTGCTGACTCAGCACAGCAGCAGGCAGGGCTGCAGAAGCTGGTGATGCATCAGGAGCAGGTCTGGGATCATCAGGGGAGAGAAGCAGAAGCGCTTGCAGGAGAGAAGCAAGGAGGGAAGAGGAGGTCACAAGCCTGGCTGCAGTAGCTGCTGCTGACACGACCAAGTGACTGGTGGTGGGGGAGGAGAAGGAAGGTTTGTTGGACGATGCTGACGATAAGGAAAGCCCAGGGATAGCAGCAGGAGGAGGAGGAGGAGGTGCGAATGGGATGGAGAGGCGGTGGAGGAGAGAGGAGGCACGGTGACGCAGAAGCAGAGCAGAGCGGCGGATAGAGGACCTTTCCACTCTGCACACCAGCACCCCTGCTCGTGACTCTGGTACAGAGTCACATGCACCTCCCCCAGACACAGCCTCCCCTGAGCCATGAACCCTGCTTTCAGCCTTAGCTGCACATATCTCTGTTGCTCTGTCTTGCGTTGCTTGGAGCAGCAGCGAGTGATGAAACTGAGCCTCCTCAACCAGTGCTGCCAGCAACAAGAAGTCATCCTCACATGCTGCTTCAGCCCCATGATTTGAACAGTCCATACCGCCATAATTTACAAAATCCACACCACCCCTGCCATAATATTCGCAGCTGTTTTCTGTTGGATACCCGCCCTGCCATCCCTTCTGCTGCCTCCTGTTGCTGCTTCGGTGCTTCTTTGCCTGCAACAGCATCCGAAGCTGCTTGGAAGCTTCCACCACCAACCCTTCCGCCTGCAGAAGCAGGCCTTGCCAGGCGTCACCAGACGGCACAGCTGCTGCTGACTCAGCGAATCTGACACACGACTCAGCATACGCAGCCGCCAGCTCAGCCAAATCAGCGCGCTGACTCAGCACACCAGTGGTAGACTGCCACGCTGCACTGTCCACCTCATCCTTGTGCCTATCCTCAGTATGAAACAGCCCATTCCTCTCCGAAAGAGCATGGACACCGGTGGTAACCCCAACCTCATCAGTCGTTTCTTGGGACCGCTGCAATTCAGCCTGAATCAGCAAGTCGCGTGCCAATTCCCTAGCTGCTGCCCCCTGCACTAGTAGCCCCTTCACCGCCCCATCCACCTCTCCACTCTCTTCCCAACCACCTGCCCTTCCACCCTCTGTCTGGTACTGCTGCTGCTGCTCCAGCTCCCCTGCGAGTGCAGCCATTCCTCCTGACCACCGCACCAGCCACGCAAAGCCAGCAGCAAAGCGCGCAGCAAGACCACCATCAGCGGTAATCTCAGCAGCAGCAGGCAGGCTAGCAGTGAACCTTGGGTCCGCCGCTCCGTGGCCTTGCACCACTTCTCCGTCCCTTACAGCCTGTGTTTTGTGCCACGAACCCTCACACTCCCTCCCTTCCTCAGGTTCACTTTCCGCCGCAAAATCAGGTACTCTGGCTGTCCAATGCGACAGAAACATCTGGCCCAGCTGAGCTGCCCGGAAAAGAATTTTGCTGAGCAAGAACCCCTGCCTTGCCCTCCCCCTGCCCATCCCTCCTCTCAGCAGAATCGCACGCCCATCAGAAGGCAAGTACCAAGGTAGCACCAGCATCTCAGTGTTGTGAGCCAAATGCAGAGCCAGACCCGCAGCAGCAGCAGCAGCAGCAGCAGCAGCAGCAGCAGCAGCAGCAGCAGCAGCAGCAGCAGCAGCAGCAGCCCGTTGCTCACGTCTCACATGTCTCTTGTCAATGTGACCACCTGCCAGTTCACCCAAGAGACCACCTTCCCTGCTTCCCCCTTTCACTTCCCTGCCTCCCTCCTTGCTTTCGTCGATAATCAAGACCCCCTCTGGCACCGACTGATCCTGTTGCTGCACCTGCTTCTCCTGCATCTCCCGCCCCTGTTGCTGCTGCAGGAGCTGCAGCTCCCCTTGCCTTCTCTCAACGCCCTTCATCAGTCTTAAGTGCCTCTCTGCAGCATGCAGTAGCGAATCTGCTGCTGCTTGCACCCCGTCCTCTTGCTCCTCCTCACCCCCCTCCCTTCTCCCTTCTCCTCCTCCCTCTCTTCCCTCTCCCCTTGTCTCCTCCGCTCCTTCAAACTCTTCCCCAATCACCCTACCTGCAAGCATGGCAGCAGCACGAATCACAGCAGCACAGCTCCTCCCTGCCTTTCTCAGAAGCTTCCCACCCCACCGCACACCACCCATCTCCCTGCCCAAACCGCTGCCGCCCTCCCTGCAACCGCCCTCCTCTGCTACAAGACAAAAATGCCGGACAGAAGCCGCCACAAGACTCAGCGCAATCTGGGCGGCGTCACTCTGGCTGACGACAAAATTTCCGCAGATTCTATTATCTGCGGATTTTATTCCCTCCCGCCGCAGATCGTCAGGTGTGGTACCTCTGTTATAATCAACTCCTTTAATCAACCTGCCCACCCCATCTCTCACTTCATCCAAGAAACTTGCAGCCCCCCGTACAAGCACACTCGTTTCTGTCACAGGCGCCCCAGCAACCACACGCCCTGCCTCCTCCCCCTTCATTGAACCCTCCCTGTCTCCTCTACCCTCCTTCCCTCCTGCTGCTCCCACACCCCCTGACCTTTCCCTCTTTCCCTTCATCAAAATTCTTTCTCTCCTTCCCTTCACCCCTGAATTCTCTCGCCGCTTCCCCATGACAGGCGCCGCCTCACAAGTCACCTCCTCAACGTTTGCCGCAGCCTCTATCGCTCTCACCATGCCTGCCACTGCCACCAGCCCTGAGAATCCCAGGGAAACGAGCATATCTTCTGTGTGAGAAGGTGAGTGACGAGCCTTCGTTTCAGCCAGCCCACAAGTCTTCTGCGCCTTCACAGCAGTGCAGTCTTTTTGTTGAGACAGCTCGAACCACAACTGCATTGCATTTATTGTTCTGAGCAGCTTGTCACACACCACCTCACACTCTGTCACACTCACACTCCCCTCTAACCAGTCAGATCTACTTATGCTCAATCCTTTGTGCGTTTCCTCTTCCCTGATCCCCTCTTCTCGCGTCCCCTCCTCTCCCGTGCTCCCCTTCCCCTCTTGCCAGCCCCAGAACCCTGCAATTGCGTGCAGAAGCTTCCTGTAAGCTTCCACCAGGGTGCGAAGAAAAGAAAGCCGGAGCTGGAGGGTAGTGACAACAGCCGAACCTGCTGTCGACGACAACAGCGTCTCTTCCCTAAAACAATCAATGCCCCAGCTCTTGACAACTGCTGCAGCCTCTACAGCAGCAGCAGTATGGCGCTGCAGCAGCAGCCATCCCGAGAGCAGCAGGTGAGACACCCAGTGCTTCGGAGCAGGAAGCAGTGGCTTCTCTTTCTCCTGCTGCTGCTGCTGCTTCTGATCCTGTTGCTCCTGCTCTCCCTGCTGCTTCTCCTGCTCCTGCTGTTTCTGCTCGTGCGGCTGCTCCTGGTCTTCCTCCTCCTCCTGCTGCTTCTGCCTCAAACGTGGCTTCAGCAGCCCTCCGATTGTTTCTGCCGCTGCTGCAACAAGCACCATTCCGTCTCTAGCAACATCCGCAGCTGCTGCTGTTGCTGTTGCCGCCGCTGCTGCTGCTCCTGCATTCTTTGCCGCTCCTGCATTCTTTGCCGCCGCTGCTGCTCCTGCAGCACATATCTTCACCCCATGTGCAGCAGCCCGGTCCCTAAATGCCGCTGCCGCCGCCACTGCCGATGACGACGGCACAACTGCTGAAGGATGAGCAGTGTCAGGCATTGTATAGGCTTCAGAAGTAGCATCAGGAGCAGCAGCATAAGGAGCAGCAGCAGGCGGGACACAGCCACAGAGAAGCTCAGCACTTTCTATCAGGCAGAACAGAGACGTCATCCCCTGCTGCTGTCCTCTATTCACCCCCAGCTGCCCTCTGTTCGCCCTCTGGGCAAGTGGTTCTTGGAAACCCTTCTCCCTGCCTCCTCCCTGTGTCTCTAGGCCCGCACTCTCTGCCTGCTGGTTTGCAAGAGAGAGGCAGCGATCCACCAGCAGCGCTGCATGCTCTGAGGCAGCTTCTAGCAGCTTCCCACTTCGATCCCACAATTCTGCCTGGCTCTGCCTCTCCTCCTCCCCCTCCTCTTCATCCTCTCCTTCCAGGTCCTCCTCTTCGCCTTCTACCCATCCTCCTTCCTTCTCATCCTCTTCCTCCTCTTCCTTGTCCTCATCCTCCTCCTCCTCGTCCTCTTCGTTTCCAACACTCACTCCCTCCTCCACCTTTCCCTGTTCCCTCACACTTCCCTCTCTCTCCACATCTCTCACCCTCCTCCTCGCCTCCATAACTCTCAAAACGCCTGCCACCAGAAACAGCAGATTTTCCAACCTTCTTGCACTTTCTGTTGGCCCTTCTGCAATCACACCGCCTACAGTCACACCACCTACAACCAGACCGCCTGTCACACCGCCTACATTTACGCTGCGTGCTGTCACACCGCCTATAGTCACATCGCTCACAGTCACACCCTCCTCCCCTATTCGTCCTCCCACTGTATGCTGCTGACTCAGCAGCAACAGATGCTGCTCTGTCAGAACCACCAGATTCTCCAGTGCCAGGGTTACACCTGTCTCTGGAACAGTTCCACCTGTCCCTGCTTGGGTTACATCTGTCCCCCCCAGGGTTACATCTGTCGCGGACAGTCTCAGCACATCACATTCTGCAACCTCACACTCAAGCCTTTCTAAGAGACTCATAAGAAGCTTGGCCTTCGTTACAATCACCTCCCCCTGCTTGCACACCTGCTGCCAGCTCGGCACCTTATCGTCTGTAGTATCCACATCATCCACATCAGCAGCCACATCAGCAGCCACATCAGCAGCCACATCAGCAGCCATATCAGCACCCGCACCTATTCGTTTCACTCTGCTCTCCGCCTCCTCCATGCCTCTTCCCTTCTCTCCCTCATCACTCCGTGTGGTAACCCTATCCACCAGAGCCCCCTCTACAGCCATATCAACATCCTCCCGGTGCTCAATCACGTCCCTCCACAATGCCGAGGCTGCTACAATCACCTCCCTTATATGCACCTTCTCGCTGATCACCCCCTTTACAGTCACATCGCCACCAGACACATCCTCAGCAGCACTCACATCCTCTACAGTCCCATCTGCCTGCCCTCTGCTTTCGATCACCCCTTCAGCTGCCGTTACAGCCACGTTCTCTCCAATCACATCCTCCCCATTCACATCCTTTTTAGTCACATCCTCCCCACTCATCTCTTGCACACCTGCTGCATCATCTAGCACCTGCTGAGTTGCCTCTTCTCCCTCCATACAGTCACCCTCTGTAGAATCAACCACAAGCACCTCTGCGGAATTCAATTGCACCTTACCAGTTTGTGCCGCTTCTTCTCCCTCTGTACAGTCACTCATAGGCCAGAGCGACCCACCCACAGCAGCAACCATACCCCACGGGTCCATCCCACCTGCCCCAGACTCACCTTCCCCAGACGCACCTCCCCCCTCCTCCTCCTCCCCATCCCCAAACAAATCAAATCCGATAAAATCCGATACAGTCGTGATGATTGCTAGATCTACCTGCAGTTTACTGTAGCCTCCCCGAGAGCGTGGACGAGGGGGAGTGGCGAGGCGAGGAGGGGTGAAAAGATGGGGAAGGGTGGGGAAGTGGGGAGGAAGGACGACGTCAGCCATTGGATCAAGCAGAGATGCCGATGGAGCGTCAGGATCGCTGCGCGATCGTGCCATTAATTGGATGGCTTTGTTGCTGCTGCTTATGCACTTGAACGAGTTTGACTGTATGCGATTGGGGAGCACGATGCGAGGGGATCCGAGTCGAGACAAGAGAAGAGCGTCCTCGTCTGTTTCTTGCTGCTGAGAACCACCAGTGGCTGCAGCAGAGGCAGCAGCAGCAGAGGAGGCAGCAGCAGCAGAGGAGGCAGCAGGATCAGCAGGTGGGTTTTGAGGTGCTTCAAGAGAGAGGAGAAGAGCATCCTCGTCCGCTTCTTGCTGCTGAGAATCATCAGTGGCTGCAGCAGAGGCAGCAGCAGCAGAGGAGGCAGCAGCAGAGGCAGCAGCAGAGGCAGCAGCAGCAGAGGAGGCAGCAGCAGAGGCAGCAGCAGAGGCAGCAGCAGAGGCAGCAGCAGCAGAGGAGGCAGCAGGGGCAGCAGGCGAGTTTTGAGGTACTTCAAGAGAGAGGAGAAGGGCGTCTTCGTCTGCTTCTTGCTGCTCCAAACCAGCAGCAGCAGCAGCAGTGACAGCAGTGGTGGTTGCACAGGTGGCAGCAGCAGGAGAAGCAGGAGCAGAGGAGGCAGCATTGGCAGCAGGCTTAGGGGATGTAGGCTCGGCAAAGGCGGGCTTGGGGGAGGAGAGCTTGGGGGAGGTGGGCTTCGGGGAGGCAGGCTTGGAGGAGGCAGGCTTGGGGGAGGCAGGCTTGGGGGAGGCAGGCTTGGGGGAGGCAGGCCTGGGGGAAAGAAGCGTGGAGGAGGGAGGCTTGGGGGAGGTAGGATTGGGGGAGGTTGGGACAGGGGCTGTGGGAAGGACTATGGACACGCCCCTTTTGGCTGATGAAGCCCGGGGCGAGGAGGCTAGAGGGCGTTGGAGGGAGGGTGACCTGGGGGAGGCTGGGGGAAGGTTGGCGGAGACACCTGAGGGGGATGGGGGAGGGAGGGAGGGGGACCTGGGGGAGGCTGGGGGGAGGGAGAGTGTGGGAGGGGCTCGAGACGACAGTACCTTAGGTGAGTGGGCTTCCAACGAGAAGGACGTTAACAGACTTGCTTTAGGAGACCGTGGTTCGAGAGATGGAGGTTTCGGAGAAGGCACTCTTAACGAGGATGGCTTTGAAGAGGATATCGACTTGCGGGGATGCTTGGTTGATGACCTTGCTCGGGAACTAGCAGCAGCGCCAGCGCCAGCGCCAGCAGCAGCGGCAGCAGCGCCAGCAGAGGCAAAGGCATTCCCACCCCACCCTGCACTGAATTTTGCATCAGGCTGGCTGGGCCTGGGACTCCTGGCGAAGCAGGAGAAGCTGCCAGTAAGCATCAGATCATCATCACCACCCCCGCCACCATCATTCTCCTCGGCCTCCCTTTGCCCTCGGCTTCCCTGCCCTCCCTCCCTCTCATCTCCTCCTTGTGCGTTCTCCTCACCCGTCAGTGCTCGCTTCCTCTGCACCACAGCACCATTTCCCCGCATCACCAAGCCACTGTCTCTCTGCATGCCTTGCACCGGCCTACTGCTGCTGGGGCTAGCCTGGCCCTCCGCCTCCTCATTCCTCCCCTCCTGACCCTCCTTGCTTCTTTCCTCATCCTCCCCCTTACTCCTTCCCTCCCCCTCCCCCATGCACTCATGCTCCAGCACACCCAGCAGGCTCCCCTTCCCCTCCTGCCTGGCCTTCACCCCAGCACTCGCAGGTGCAGCGCCGCTGCTGACAACATCCGCGTCAGTAGCATCCCCGTTAGAAACAACATCCCCTTTAGAGACATCCCCTTTCGTGACATCTCCCGAGCTCCTCACTCGTCGCAGCTTCATTGCAAACAGGTACGTGCCACCACCACCCTCCCCCTCACCAGACGAAATCAGAGGCGCGTCTAAATTCACATACGTGCCCCCGCCCTCCTTTCTATCGCCCCCTCCGCCCTCCCCTGTACCTGCATTACCAATAGCACGTACGGGCTGCTCCATCTGACGTTCCTTATTAGCTTCCTCCGCTCCAGAGTCAATCACAACCGTTGGTCCTCTGCTTACACCATCCCCATCGCCCACACCTGCTGCTTCCGGAGCTGTTACTACCTGCGCCTTCGAGCCTCTTCTCTTCTTTTCACCCCTAGAGAACTCGGCCTCCACGTCTCTTCTCCAGCTCTTGGCTCGGCGCTCCGGGTCAACCTCCCAGGTTCGGACGACAGGTCCGTCTCTCCCCGAACCTACTCTCCCAACCTCTCCCTCAAAACCCGCCCCTGCTTCAGCCTCGCCAGGGCTGGCCCGGACCACACCACCGAAGCTACCTGCCTGGTCTGTACATCCCGAACCTAAGCCTGCTGGTTCCCCTGTATCCTGTTGTGCAGCTCCGGGATTTTTCACCTCCCCTGAACCAGCCTTGGGATTGTCAGCCTTCCACGAGGCGCCCTTGGGATTGTCTAGATGCACTGAATCCGCGGAGCAGGCTGTAGCAGGGTTGCTGTGAACAGGAGGAGGAGGACCGTTTGTGCTTAAGCTCCCAGCATGAGGATCTGACGTGGCATCCGATGTGGCGCCAGCGTGCCTTGCAAGCTCGCAAGCCGGATTATTCAGAAGATATGTCTCTGTAGGTAAAGGAGCTGAGTCTGGCGCTGCTGTTGCTGTTGCTACTTCTGTATCTGGTCCAGCCGCCTTACTATTAGATGAGCGCTCATCTAATGTGCACTCCAAACCCCGCCCTTTCTCTCGCGGCCCCATCCCATCTTCCTCCTCACCTCCCTTCCGCCCTTCTGTTGCTCGCCCCTCTACCTCACCCTGGGATGCCCCAATAGCTGTTCCTTTCACCTCCCCTCCTCTCAACGCCCCAATATCTGCTGCCTTTACTCCTGCGGCCTCAGACGCTCTTTCTACCCCAATCCTCCCTGCCGCTCCAACTTCCGCTGTTGCTCCACTCTCCCCCGTTTCCCCAGCCTCCCCCGCTGCCCCAACATCCCCCGCTGCACCAGCTTCTCCAGATGACCCCTTGTGTCTGTGTGTCTTGCTCTTGGACTTTCGCTTGTGCGAACTCTCTACCTCGTCAATGAACACGTCCAACAGGTCCTGGCGAATTAGGGTTACCACACAAAAAGGTCGCGAATTCAATCAATGTTGCACAGCTGCTCAGCCCGAAAGGTTGGAATAGAAACAAGAGCAGGAACATACTATACCAGACGTGGCGAAACACGATAAAAAGCATGCCACATACCAGAGAAACTCGCAAATCAAGTATGAGACGTAACATAAAATTAAGGAGACTCGTAATTCGTTGATACAAATCACCCCACGAACCTTTACTGGCTGCGATCCTGCCATCTGTCCCATCGCTCCTCCCAAGCCTCTGGACGGAGCTGGTCCTGACCGCCGAGCCTGGAGGCTCGGCGACTGCGCGGTGGCTCGGGAAGACTGCGACGTGGTTCGGGAGATGGTGCTGCTGTCGTATTCGGTACTACTATCGAGGTCCGGGGCTTCCATGCCTCTGCTGCTAACGCACCCCATTGGTGGCATCTTGGCGACGGGATGCCACGTGGCATAGGAAACGATTGACCTCGAGTTGCAGGCAGCGGGTGCCACGTGGCAGAGAATGGATCAGGTTGAGTTACGAACTTATACGGGCTGTTAGGTAGGCGACTTCTTGCAGCAAAGCAGGTATTGCGCCGGCATTGTACCATACACGAACTCGCTTACACCCGCCATTGTGAAAGTAGCACGGTAGACGAATGGTGAGTAGACGAATGCGCGACGCCGGCTTTGTCAGACCGAAGCTCTAGGTCGCACGAATGCGCGATGCGGTATTGTTCCTAGCGACAGCCGCGCGAACGTCGCTCACTGGCAAATGTCGCAAAGAGGCCTACCGTCAGTTATTGATCTGGAACCGTCACTGCGGCCACGGCGAATCGCGGAATGACTCGCTGCTGCTAGAGAGCCGGTCTGGTTAGTGTCTCCTAATCAACGCCGTTACTTTCACTACTGATACAAAATTACGGAGGGTGTTAGCACCAACAGCTGAACAAAATTACAGCCCTCGTGTGATGTGGGGGAAATTTGAAATTACACCCTCCAATCGGAGAACCTGGAGAATCTCCTCAAATTTCGCACATCCCATGCAGTTGATGGCATTGCCGACAACATCCAGGACAGTGGCTTGCAATAAACTTCAAATGTTATAATAATAAACCCAACTAACGCGTCGGTGTAGTTTAGTGGTTAGAATCCCACGTTGTGGCCGTGGAGACCTGGGCTCGAATCCCAGCACCGACATCTTTTGCGCAGTTCAGGATGGAGAGGGTACTGCCATTGTAATTTTTGCCATAATTCCACCATCTTCCACCCTTGTTATTCTACTAAGGGTCCTCTTCCAGTGTGACTTTGCTTGTCTAGCGTATTCTTTGTTTTTATTCTTCACGAGAACCTGTTTCTTCTTCCCATTCACTCAGCAAGCAATCCAGGAGCCTGCTTCAGGGTTGCGTCGAAACTAAGGGTTCATTCCGCTCTAGACATGTCCCAATCGATTCCACCGCACTGCATCTTATTACACTGAATTACACCCTAGTTTCAAACATTGTCAAGATTTTCGCGTCTCTGGTTTAGTTCGGTTCGGAGCGGTACACCCGATTGGGAGATGTCCAGAGCGGAATATACCCTAAGCATTGTGCTATGTCCAATCTAGCAATCGAAAACTACGCGTGAGCTTCACAAAGACATATAGAAATTATCAGCTTGTAAGTGAAATGCATACTTCCAAATAATAAAAGCTGTTAAATTAGTAGTTTAACAGCATACAAATAGGTTTGTGCATGGGAAGAGTAATTGCTGTAGCTTCTCTGAAAGGGGCACCGAACTCGTACCCCAGCTTTGCTGCAGCAAATCCCCTTCATACTCAGTTCCACGATTATCATTAGTCGCTTCTACGTATGGCAGCAACGTGGTCGAAAGAAACACTTCCCGCACACGACTTTTCCCGCCAAGAGCCGAACCGCCACACGGACCTCTACTCCGATTCCCGCTAATCCGAAATATCCAACCACGTCCCAGACCAACTACCCTGCTTGCGGTTCGGCTCCAGCGTGTCAGCGGGGGAAATTGGAAGGTTTCGAGGAAAACTGTGATTCGGCGTGGTGTGGTGTGGCGGAGGGAAACGGTGGATTTGGCCCCAGGTGAAGTTTCAAACCAGGGCTTTCGTGTGCGGCGAAATGAGCTCCCCAGCGTTGTAGAACGGTCAATTTAACCTTCCGACTGGCCTGGTTGGGAGGTTGGGGGTTTGAACAAAATTGAACATACTAAAAACAGCAATAAGCGAAGACATCAAGTTGTTGTAGATTGCTGCGTCTTGCCCTCACATCACATCCAGGAGCATCAGTTCTAGCTGCCCCACCATCACGAGTCTTGTTTAGCCGTCCCTGGCACGGAACAGTTTTGAGAACACACTGCAGAAGCCCAAGCCTGTATCTATCCCCTCTCAAGCTAATAACTCAGTGAACCATCCTCCCTCGCTTCCTAACTCGTCCGTGTTCTTGGCCCCTCGGATCTGACTTTCCAAAATTCTCACTTCCGCAAGTTATTACGTACTTTGCCGTCGCCACGTCGCCATGAAGCAACGATCGCATACCGCGACGTACCTCGCGCTCCTGGTTGTCGCGTCGTGCCTCGTCAGCTTCGCCGCGGCGCAATGTGGGGCCGTGTGCACCGTTCCCGGCACCAATCTCATGAACAATGACTGCGTTGTCCAGTGCAACGTGAGAAGCTCACTCCGTCCCATATCTTCCTCCTCCCTTTCCTCCTCATTCTGTCCACTTTATAAAGCCGACTCATAACTCGTCCTCCGGTTGCACCACGGGCTCGTTAACTCCGACTCGGACTGCGTACCTCCCGCTCGCCTCCCCAACAGAACTGCGCATACCCTCGCCTTTAGGGATGTGCCACGTAGCTTTTTCGTGCTCTCTATTCCCCTTTCTTCGCCTCGCCCCCGCCGCTTCCCCCCTCTCTCCTCTCCCCCCTCCCTCCCCCATACAGACGTGCGCGTACGCGACACTTTACGGATGTTCCACTTATCCACACCGCTCTCTCTCCCCATCAGTTTGCCTCCCCCCCGCCTCTCCCCCGCCTCCCTTCCGCCTCCCTTCCGCCTCCCCCCCGCCTCCCTTCCGGCTCCCCCCCTTTCCTTCCGCCCCCCTCCCCCCACAGAACTGCGCGTACGCGACACCCTACGGATGTGCCACCTACTTCCAGCCCTTCTGGAACTCCGGTGGTGAGTGTGACTGGATAATGTATGAATAGATCATAGCGAGTATGGAGTTTACGCAACACTCTACGGATGTGCCACTTACTTACAGCCCTTTTGGAACTCCGGTGGTGAGTGTGACTGGATATAATGTATCGATAGATCGTAGCTCGTCAAAAACTCGGAATATCGCACGAAGTATAGCCCGTAAAGGACGCGTATTGCGTGCAGCAGGTGGTGATTCAAAGGAAGATATACTATATGGTGTGCAGGTGAGTGTAACGAGAATCAGATGATAATAGGGTGCAGTAGTAGCTCCAAGTCGCCCGTATCCCCCCCATCTCCCCGCTCTCCCCACACGCCCCACTCGTTTTTTAGACGCCTCAACACTTTCTTCTGAAACGTCTCAACACTAATCTTTGTGACGTCTCGAATTGAAACCTCATGCTTCAATCAAATGCCCGATTCCCTCCCTGCACTCTCTCACCTTCCCACTGGGAGTGAGTAACTGGCACTTACTGTCCTCCAGTCGAATTTGAGATCTCTCACATTCGATTTCGAAACGTCTCGAAACAAAAAACTGGTGCTCCAATCAGATGCCCGCTTCCCTCCCTGCACTCACTCACTCGCCGTCCTTCCATCCTCGTGTGAATGCGGTTGCTACCCCACATTCCCCATCACACCCCTCCCTCTTTCCCCTTCAGTTATACAGCTTTCTCCCCTCCACCCCTTTCAGCCTAGGTGCCTGCTGCAGCTACTCATGCTCGTTGAAACACCGCACAGCACTCCCCTCACATTTTCCCATCAGCTCCTCCATCTCTCCCGTTTCTTTAACTCCACCCCTCTCAACCTACGTGTCTGCAGCTGTTCGTCCTCGAGCGGCCTTGCTTGGTTGTCCCGCCTGCTCATTCTAACCCACATTCCGTATCAACTCTTCAGACTTTCCCATTCTTCTGCTCCCGTTCCCCTTACCCACCCACCCACCCACCCCTCTCAGCCTACGTGTCTGCAGCTGTTCGTCCTCGAGCGGCCTTGCTTGGTGGTCCCACCCACCCACCCACCCACCCCTCTCTACGTGTCTGCATCCTACTCGTGCTCGAGCGCGCTTGCGTGATCGTTCCTACGCCACACATCACGATCTGGTTTTTGAGAATTCTCGCTGGTTTTTGAGAATTCTCGCTTGTTTTTGAGAATTCTTGCTGGTGTTTGAAAATTCTCGCTGGTTTTTGAGAATTCTCGCTGGTTTTTGAGAATTCTCGTTGGTTTTTTAGAATTCTCGCTGGTTTTTGAGAATTCTCGCTGGTTTTTTAGAATTGTCGCTCGTTTTTTAGAATTCTCGCTCGTTTTTGAGAGTTCTCGCTGGTTTTTGAGAGTTCTCGCTGGTTTTTGAGAGTTCTCGCTGGTTTTTGAGAGTTCTCGCTGGTTTTTGAGAGTTCTCGCTGGTTTTTGAGAATTCTCGCTGGTTTTTGAGAATTCTCGCTGGTTTTTGAGAATTCTCGCTGGTTTTTGAGAATTCTCGCTGGTTTTTGAGAATTCTCGCTGGTGTTTAAGTATTCTCGCTGGTTTTTGAGAGTTCTCGCTGGTTTTTGAGAATTCCCGCTGGTTTTTTAGAATTCTCGCTGGTTTTTGAGAATTCTCGCTGGTTTTTGAGAATTCTCGCTGGTTTTTGAGAATTCTCGCTGGTTTTTTAGAATTCTCATAAACCAGCTCACATCACAATCACTTGACTCTTTCCTCTCCACCCGTCCCACCCCCCTCCACCCTCATTCTACCCTACGTTTCTGCAAGCTGCAGCTACTCGTGCTCCAGCAGCCTTGCCTGGTGGTCCTGGCTGCTCGTTGCTGCACCGCACGTCACTCCTCATACTTCCCATCGACTCCTCTGTCTCTCCACTTCACCCATTCCGCTTCCCCCTTGCCCCCTCTCAGCCTATGGTCTGCAAGCTGCAGCTACTAGTACTCCAGCGGCCTTGCCTGGTGGTCCTGGCTGCTCGTTGCTGCACCGCACGTCACTCCTCATACTTCCCATCGACTCCTCTGTCTCTCCGCTTCACCCGTTCCGCTTTCCCCTTGCCCCCTCTCAGCCTACGTCTCTGCAAGCTGCAGCTACTCGTGCTCCAGCGGGCTTGCCTGGTGGTCCCACCTTCTCATTCCCACCGCACAGCACTCCTCACATTTCCCCATCAACTCCTCCCTCTATCTCTTCCCCTCCCTCCACCCCTCTCAGCCTACGTCTCTGCAAGCTGCAGCTACTCGTGCTCCAGCGGGCTCGCCTGGTGGTCGTGGCTGCTCATCAGTTTCGCGATTCTCTTTGTCTCTGTAGGGGTGGGCTTCGGGGTCTATGTGTGCCTGCGCTCTGCCCGCAGCTGATTCCAAGAGCACTGCTGAATGTGCGTGCTGCGGGCTTGCCTGGTGGTCCTGGCTGCTCATCGGTCTCGCCATTCCCTTAGTCTCTGTAGGAGTGGGCTTTGGGGTCTATATGTGCCTTTGCTCCACCCGCAGCTGATTCCAAGGGCAGTGGGCGTAGCGGGTATATATGAGGAGGCGCCTCACAGAGCAGATCTCTCTTCATCTCTGTAGGAGTAGGATGGGGGGTTTATGTGCCTTCTCTCCGCCCGCAGCTGTTCTCAAGAGCATTGCTGTGGGCGTAAATTGCTTCTGTGGTGTCTCAGGGGCGCCTCAGTAACATTTTCTTTACTGTCCCTGTAGCGGTGGGGTTCAAAGTTTATGTGTGCCTTTACTCACAAACAAACCTTTTATTATCTCTGACTGGTGCTGACCATGAGGCCGTGCCGTGCTTGCTGTGGGTGCAGTACAGCTATAGCAGTAGAATTGATATCTGCTAGGTTCTATGATGTTTTTCACTTGCTAGCAAAGCTGTAACACGCATCCATTGCAATAAGAGCAATCTGAGAAGCTGGCCTAGCATTTTGCATTTTGCACTCCGGATTCGAATACCGTGTATTGTGTTTCTGACGGTCAGCCTTCCGAACGGTCAAAACTGAATCAAGTAACAAGGCCTATAGACAGAATCGCAATAAGCCTAGCCTACTACCCAATCTCGCTCCCCCCTTTTTATTTCTTCTTTGTTGGCTCACACACAGCTGTATGGTGTGTTCCTTTCTGTTATTGCAATGGCGACATCACTGCACCATATACGGTACACTAGTCAATGGGTACTACAGTTGACTCTGAATAAACTAATACATTGGAAACAAATGGAATACACGCCATGCCTACACATCCTGTCACCACACTAACTCAAGCTTGTGAAAGTTGCATTGTCTAGCAGAAGTTCATCTAGCTGCTGTGCCATAGGCCACTCAGATATGTCGTTGCCATGAAAAGACATCGACTCAAGTAATTTGTCATAGTTTGTTGTGAGCTCATCTTGAAAAGCCTCGTTTTGGAAGAGCTCCTCCTGACAGGGCTCGTTCTGAGAGAGCGCCGTTTGAGGGAGCTCGTTTTGAGAGAGCCCCTTCCCGTCCCCTTGACTGCCAGCCACGGCTGAAGGAAACAGCTCCTGTTCCCCATCCTGCTGTCCCGAAGAAGACTCCATACCCACTTGAACGCTGCCCATACCCATCGACTGACCACCACACATGCCTGTTTGATCAACACACATGGCCATTTGACCATCGTACAAGCCAACGTGAATCCCTCCCATGCTTGTTTGACCACCAGATGTACCCTCTCCTTGCTGCAAGAATGACCGAGGAAATATGATTGGGCTTCTGGCCTGCAGGTGCGGCTGTAGCGGGTTTGGCTGTAGTGGGCGCTGTGCTGCTGTTTCCACGGCTCCTGTTGCTGCGACAACCAAGGTTGGTACATGCATCTCGGTATGAATAGGTGCAGGGAGATACTTCGGCTCATCTTCTGCTGCTGCTGCTGCTCCTGCCGCCGCCGCCGCTGCTGCTGCTGCTGCAGGTGCTGCTGCTACTGCCATTGGTGGTGACATAACGAGGCTTGACGCCTGGAGCTCTGATTCAAGCTGCCACAGAAGCAAGTCCATGGACTGTGCATCGATCACAGGTGACTGGTTGAAAGACTGTAGCAATTCCGCACGTGAAAGCGAGAAAGGAGACTGTAGCGGTGGTGCTGCTGGCGGCTTTGCAGGTGACTGTATCGGTGATCTCGCTAACACCAGATCCACAGGTGACTGTATCGATGGTCCTGCTGAAGCCAGAGTGGCAGGTGACAGTATTGGTGGTCCTGCTGACATCAGATCCTCAAGTGACTGTAGCGGTGATCTTGCCGAAATCAGATCTGCAGGTGACTGTAGCAGTGGCCTTGCTGAAACAAGATCTGCAAGTGATTGTATCGGTGAGGTTTCTGAAGCCAATTTTGCAGGTGACTGTAACAGTGGCCGTGCTGACACCAAATCTTCAGGTGACTCCAGCAGTGATCTTGCTGACACCAGGTCTGCAGGTGAATGCACCGGACGAGCTGTAGCTTGATGCAGATGCGACAGGGTGTTATGGGATGGTGTGCGGTGGAAGGAGGTGTTATGCGATGGGGTGTACAGGGTTGGTGAAGGATACGATAAGCAACGCTGGGCGGTGGCATGATAGGTCAGGGTAGACCTCTTTGGGGAGTAAGGGGTCGGCGCAGGATAGGTCGGCGCAGCGTAGGTTGGCACAGGATAGCTTGGCCAGGCCAGTGCCAACTCTTCATGCTGCATAAGCTGCAACGAATATATGCACAGGATGGGACAGGGTGTAAGATGGAGAAATGCAAGAAGAGAATCGTTGCTAGTAACAAGGCAAAGTGCCAAAAAAAAAAAAAAGGGAGGTGCTCACCTCGGTCTTGATCTTGGCTGAAGGATCCAAAGGGGTAGCTCCCATAGTGTTAGGTACGGCAGGTGCAGATTGAGCGAGTATCGAATCAGGAGCAATCATTGACGGAGCAGCAGAAGAAGCACCGGTCTGAGCAGCAGCAGCAGCAGCAGCAGCAGCAGCAGGAGCAGCAGGGAATGGCAGGGGTTCTGGCAGGGGCGACGCCCTGATTTGAGTGGTAGACGCAAAGGCGAGGTCCCGGTATGAATCCAATGCACGCAGCACCATTCCTGCATTAGCCACAGCAGCAGCAACACCACCACCACTAACAGCAGCAGCAGCAGCAGCAGCAGCAGCAGCAGCAATGTTGGAGTCCATGCTTGCTACAACCACTGAAGCTGGAGCGTTGGCCACAGCAGCAGCATCAGCATCACCAACGCCACCAGCACCACCAACAGCGCTACCAGCAGCGTTATCAGCAACGCCAGAATCCATACTTGCAGCAGGAGCTGCCCCCCCAGCGCCTGGAGCATCAACAAAGCTACTGCTGCTGCTGCACACGCCAGCGCCTTGAGCCACGGGCATGCAGGCGCTACTACTATCATCCACACCGTTCATCTGCTGCTCCACTACCTTATCCAACGGTCCTTGCTTCTGGACCATCCGTGAGAGCATGACCTCCCACTCAGCCGGAGTCAACAGCTCCTCCAGCAATAGTGCAACATCAGGGCTGCTGCTCTCGCCAACCTTGGCACTTGCTGGAAACTGCCAGTCTTGCGGAAGAGCCACTGCCGAGGTTGCTGCGGCTGTTTGCGCTTCTGGGCGTGCTAGGAACGCTGAAGGTGCCAGGCCTGCTGGTTCGGTGTTTTCTGCAGGTTCTGCCAGGCCTGGCGGGCCTGCCGGACCTGCTGGGTTCGAACATTGGTTTGGGAAGCGCTGTGGCAGTCCGAGGCTGCTCCAGTGCAGCATCCCTTGAGTGGCGCAGGTCGTCGCAGACAGCCGAGGGAAGAACGATGCATCGCCGCTGCCAGCAGCAGACCAAAGCGGCCCAGCAGGCAAGTGTGGAGCAGACATGGAGCTTCCAGCAGGCCAGGGCAGCCCGTCGTGGCTATACGACGATGTTCTTTGCAAGTTCCCTATAGCACAGGTGGCAGCTGAGGACCGTTGAGCAGTCACGGCTGAGAAGTGTGGGGCAGACACACAGCTGTCGGCACGCCAGGGCGGCTCATCCTGGCAGCAGCTGGCGCCGGGACTCTCCAAAGAAACGTCTGGCTCAGCTTTCACCTGCGTTGCCCTCTGCCGCTTTGAAGCCTGGTAGCTCAACTCCCCAGGCCGATACCTCAACTCCTCAAACTGCCCAGGCTGATATCTTAACTCCTGAGGCTGATTTAACAACTCCTGAGGCTGAAATTCCAGCTCTTTTGGCCGATAACTCATCCGTTCAGCAGCAGAGAAGCAGACTCCATCAATTGGGAAGCCCAGTTTATCATCAGCCTGGCTTATCTCCTCTGTCTCTTTGCTAAGTGCCATAATCTGCTCATGCATGCTCCCGAAGTTCCTCCGCTGTGCTGTGCCGGCGATTCTGTGCGAGAGGACAGCAGGCGCAAGGGCAGTGCAAGTCTCCTTGGTATCACCAAGCGAGCGATAGGACGGGATAAGGTCAGTGAGTGGTTTTGACGTGCACAGGATCTCCTTGGGATTGTCGCCGCGGGTCTGCACCTCAGGAATGAATTGAGGGATTGTCGCGAACAGTTCACCCCATGATGCGTTTTTGGGACTTTCAGCGCCTTGCGAAGTTGCGGCATGATGAGATGGGACATGGTGAGGTTTCAGGAGGGCAGCAAGCGGTGCTGCGTAGGCTGCTGCCGCGTCTTGAAAAGGAGCAGCCATGGCGCTTGCTCTGACGTCGGCGCGGCGGCGGCGCTTGAGACACAACGAGGAAGGGTGGTTGTGGAAGCCTGAAGTCGTCATGCGTATCACCTTGCGCATCTCCATGCGCTCGGGGCGGGTGGGGCGTTCATCCTCAAGAGCCGGCGCAGCCGCATCATCAGCAGCAGCATCAGCCGCATCGGCAGCATCGGCAGTATCAGCAGCATAGGTCGCGTCCGCCGTGCTGGCAGCAGCAGCAGAAGCAGTAGCAGCGGCGGTCAGCGCGGAGTGCTTGCCGCGAGGCGGGCCGGCAATGCGGTCCTCCACTTTTGACTTTTGAGTCGACTCAAAAGTCACGACGGCGGGCGGTGCAGAGTGCTTGCCGCGGGGCGGGCCGGCGATGCGGTCCTCCACTTTGCGTGCCGTGCATCCTGTGACGGCCTTGCACACACATGCGAAGTAGATCCTGGTTAACGGAGGGAGGGCGGACAGGGAAGGGGGCCAAGGGAGAGAGGATTGTTGAGTCGATTTGGCCTTGCACACACACGTGAAGTAGATTCTGGGAGGGGGAGGGAGGGGAGAGGAGGGGGGGGCCATAGTATCTGTAGAGAGGGAATCCTTCTCTGTATCTATAAGGCCTTGCACACACACGTGAAGTAGATCCTGGGAAGGGGGCAGGGAATCATGGGAGAGAGGTAGAAATGAGGGATGACACGCAAGCTAGTGAGTGTGCGTCCTGTGACGGCCTTGCACAAGCACACGTGACGTAGATGGGGATGGGGGGGGAGGGGGGGGGGGGGGGGGGAGCATGCCTTGCTCCCGGTGGGAGCAGTAGAGAGGGGATTCTTTCTCTGAAAACTACACGGCCTTCCACACACACGTGAAGTGGTTCCTGTGAGAGAGGGAGGGAGGGGGGGGGAGGGGGGGGGGAGGGGGAGGGGGAAGGGCATGGGAGCAGCACAGAGAAATTAATGATACGGCTTTGCGCAAACACGTGAATGGAGAGCATGGAGAGGTTCAAGAGAATCATTCTCTGATTATATACAGCCCTTGCATACAACGGGAATAGGATCCGGGGGGGAGGAGGGGGAGACATAGAGAGAGGAAAGGCAGGCATTGAAAAAAATAAGGGGAAGAGATGGGAGAAATGAGGGAAAAAAAAAAAAAAAAAAACGCAATCGCTGCGTTTGGTCTGACAAAGTGGCCACGATAAAATGAGACAGAAAAAATCTGAGCCTCACCTTTTCAAAGTCCGTTGGCAGAGCCACTTATGGGAGACTTTCTGCCAGCGGAAACGGCTCGACTCTTCTTCCATCTGTTTCAAGGAGGGACGCGACTCTGGTTCCCAGGAAAGATTGCAAGCACCATCGCCTCTTCCTCCGCTCAAAGTTCCCATGCAGCTGCTGCTGTAGGTGTGTTGCTATATTTTGTAGGTTTTTTTCTTCTTCTTTTTTTGGAACGTTTTTATAGTAGATTTATTTGGCCCTGATTTTTTTTCTTGTTCCAGGCTTTACTTCGTCACCGACGAGATTTGTGATCGAAAGCTAGACACTGGAAGCTAAAGCGGCCGTTGAAGCTACTGGGATTGTCCGTGTACTAGCAACCCTGAACGTTACAAGAAAGCGGAAGCCCTAATCTGCTGAACACTATCATTGCTGTAGGCTTAAAATGGTAATATTGCTTGAAACGGAAGAGAAAATGGGAGGGAAGGCAGTTGCTAGCTGTCAGTTATCGGACGGGATTGAAAGAAAATACACTGTTCAAGTAGGCTGACGTGGAGATTCCCGTTGTGTGGTTCTCGCCATTTTGCAGACCTCGAAACCCACAGCGTACCTAAAATACAGTAAGGGGATCTCTCATGACGTTTACATTACAGTGATGAAGTCTTGGGCCCAGATCGATAGCAGGGAAACTTAGTTGAAAACCATTTGGTGTGTTTTCCCTTTTGCTAACCACTGGTACCAGTGGGGAACTTCGATACATACGGTTCAGTAGAAAACACAGTTTCCGCTGACTCGAAAGACAGAACACTCGGCCATGTCTACAGTAACGACAAACGAGTGGAGAGTGGATGTGTGTGTGAGAAATTTTACCTTAGGTGTTTCTGGCCGGTTTCGGTGGAAGGGATCCGATTCTGAGGTTCCAGGGATGAATTGACTGTTCCGTATACGACGAGCGAACCAGCTGGTGTTCCTGGATCTGCGATGTTGCGTTGGCGTTACTGTATATATACAGTTCTTCGGTGGGCTTCGTCACATGCGGTAGAACCGCACACGGTTTTCGCCCTGGTCGTCTGGGTAGCCACGTGAGTGGGTGGGAGCTGAGAAACGAACAAGGCATCCTGAGCTGGGTGATGGACGGGTCGACTCGGCTGTTCTCACAGTGCAAACGGTCCTCGGGAGGGAGCCAGACGCGCTCCACAAGCGTAGCCTAAAGAGTCGCGTTGTCAGGATAACAGGAGTGCCACGCCCTCGAAATCTCCAAAGCCGTGTCTGAAGTGTCGACGGACGCTACAGTTTCGTATGAAGATATCGGCAAATTTCCACCCTCGGATTAAACGTTCCGACCAAATTCATCGACATTCCATACAGTCGTAGAGGGTACGAGGTTCACCTCGGACACGCTCTAAAACTGACACCCGGACGCTACCTAGTCGCTATCACATGCTTCCACTTGAAATTGCCACGACAGGATGAGCTTGGTGCAGCTTGGTGGCATAAATCGCTTGATGTAACTGAAAGTTGACGAGATCGATAAATATTCTGGAATCTGAGACCTGAACTGTACAAACAGTTTGAGATAATTTGGTCAGTGCGCTGACAACGTGTATTTCTCTACGGACTAGAACGAACAGACCAGGAGACCACGCTCTATACGGAAAAGACGGGTGGTCAGAACAATCTACCCGCGCAGAGAGGGCACTATGTCCGTGTTTTGCGACTGCCATTTCCAACTCATCACAGCTCAGGTCAGTTTGGGGAACAGTAACCCTTTTTTTAGGGTAGCCGCATCAAGATTCGAAAACAGTCTGGATGACGTGCTCGGTTTCCCATCTTGCAAAACCAGTCGTATTTCAGATCACGATGTGCATTCGAAATTCAAACGATAAAATTGCAAACTGGACCGCGGTCCCAAATCAAACCCTCGCTGGCTCACTTGCTGGTAACAAGCTTTACATTCGTCAAGCGAATGAGTTGTAGATCGCTTATGCAGATTCAGTCGACTAACATTTCTGAAATTTCCCACACCAATTTCCCGCGATGTCGATTCCCACATTTTTTTTTTCCCCCGAAACCCTAGTTACCCAGTCGACAAGTTTAGCGTTCGCGAGCCAAATGTGTTCGTCCAAAATCTGAGCGCATGGGCGGGATGCTGTGTCCGCGTAGGCCTGGCAGTTCAAACGGGCGGGAACTGGAGTCCGCGTAGGCCCTCCAGGACATGGCACGTGCCTGACTTGGGATCCCCTGCTTGAAACTCGGAGAGTTGGCAAATCGTTACGGAAGTTGCATACCGCCAAATTGATACGAGCTGGACCCGCCCTTACGTATTTGCTTTCAGGGTTTCGATGTAAGGTGTGACATGCACAGTGCTAGCCGCAGAATCAGGGTTTTGCACCATGCCAGATTCATAGATCTTTCGAAGGTGTATGGCGGGATGGAATCGAAACAAGTGCAGCTCGGATCAGAAAATAACTATCCATCCTACAACCATTTAGGCCGTGGCCCAGACCGCCTCTGATCGGCGTTGATCTGATCGGGTGGTATCTGATCGGGTTGCTTCTGATTGCTTGCTCGCGCCGCCCGTTCAGTGCGGATATTCCTGGAAAACTCATAGCGTGGGCCCGAACGGGTTTGATCGCCTCGATCAGCCGCGATCAATACTTTTCAGGAAGCCTGGAGCCCAAATTCAGGCAATCAGGGGCAATCAGCTGATCGCCCCGACTCGATCAGACCCGAAATACCCCCCGATAATTGTCGATTCTCTTCGATCACCCACGGTCGATTGATCGTGGGTAATCAGGGACCACAACGATACTGACGAAAAGTTAAGCTATATTACAGGGATTCGTCAACCCCTCACGAAGATGTCCAGCCTGTACAGAACACCCTGGAATGGCACCCATTTCGCCATCCAATCATTCTCCTCGCTCCCAAGGAACATACAGCCTGTGTCGAACAATCTGGTGGAATCCCACCACTTCGGCTCCAGAGAGGAGTGGTTTTCACGATATTACTTGGATACAGAAAGTTTCGTTAGAAGCCGCATGGTCGCCAGTCTTGCTAAGATTGCCACGAAAATACCAGGTAATTGAATCCCACTTGCTGAGCAGCCGAGAAGAATTCTCTAAGAAAAGCATTACTGATCGGGCGGCTCGGGCATTGCGATCACAAGCAACCCGATCAGATCCACCCTGATCAGATCAGTCGTGATCAAACCCGTTTGGGCCCACGAACGCATGCCTCGTAAATGTGTCAGCATTTCCTGATTCTTTCGCCCCAATTTTGGCGAGAGCGAAGACGTAGCGAATTATCTGTTTCCACGTAATATCGCAAATTACACTTAAGATATCATTTGCGCGATTGTGTGACGAGCTCAACGAGAAACTGTAATCTTTTCGCAAGCGTCGCCAGGATCCCCATCCCATGCAATCAACTGATCGTGACTGATTGTGCGTGATCGTGATTTATTGGGGTGTTTGAGGCGGTTGATTGAGTTGGGGCGATCAATTGATCGCGATGAGTTGATTGCCCATGATTGCCTGAAATCGGCATCAGGGCTTCCATGAAGTTACTGGTCGCCTCTGTTCGAGGCAATCAGAGGCGGTCTGGGCCACGTCCTTAACTCATTATGATTTCGTTTGTTTTGTGTGTCCTGAATACCGGTACTGGGGTGCCTCATTTTGGGTGGTTCTGGGCAAACTCAACATGAGACTCCTAGGGCTGAGTTGAAGTGGTCGTGTATCATGATGGCATTGCCTACCTACACTACCCACTACTGCAGTGCCACAAGCCTGGTGCCAAAATCTTCTAGGGTGGACCAAGAAGGGTGTTTTCATGTTTGTTTTCTAGGACCGTGTGTGGTGTACTGTGCACTCTATGTACCCTGCCAACGAAGCCAACAAACAAACCACTGACCAGCTGGGCCAACTGCCCAGTTGGCCAAAAACAAGAAGGGCCGTGCAACGAACTCAACTGAAGACGTGTTCAGTCATTTAGGACAAAACAAGCATATTCGAACAACCAGCCTAATCAGTAACGACTCAAATTTTATTATGTACAAGACAACCTCTAATGTTTGTGAGGTATATGTCAGATATGTATGACTTAGCCTATGTAGGCTATAGTGGGGTAGACTCTAAGGGGTACAAGTTTCTAGGGTTTCACATTTGTATCCAACTGTTTCCTAGTTCATTCATTCCTCGTTCTTTCACATAACGGTATAGAGCAGGTTCCCTAGTGGGAACGTTTCCTAGGGCCCACCACGATCGTTCTCTTTTTTTTCCCGCCCGGAGCGCGCTTCGCTCCTGCCCGAGTCGCGCCCCGTGTGCCTGCCCTCCCGTCGCGTCCCCTGCCCTTAGCGGCCCGTCGCGCTCCCATACGGCCCCTCTGACGGCCCCTCGCGGCCCCCCACGGCTCCCTCGCGGCCCCTACGCGGCCCTTCGCGGCCCCGCTCACGGCCCTTCGTGGCCCCTTACGGCTCCTTGCGGCCCCTTTGCGGCCCCTTCTACGCCCCGTCGCCGCCATTCGCGGCCCCGTCGCCGCCCTTCTCGGCCCCGTCGCCGCCCTTTGCGGCCCCTCACAGCCCTTGTCGGCCCCGTAGCCGCCCTTCGCGGCCCTTCTCCGCCCCGTCGCCACCCTTCGCGGCCCCTCACGGCCCCTTCGTTGCCCCGTCGCCGTCCTTCGCAGCCCCTTCACGGCCCTTTGTGGCCCCTTCACCGCCCTTCGCGGCCACTTCTCGGCTCCTCTGCGGCCCCTTCTCGGCTCCCTCAGAGACTTGCCGCCTCGCCGTCGTCGCCCCTGCAGCAGCAGCCGACGCCGCCCCTGCAGCGGGAGCCGCCACCGCCGGTGCCGCTGATAGCAGCAGCCGCCGCCGCCACAGCCGGGGCCACAGCCGCCGACGGTAGCAGCCGCCGCCGCCACAGCCGGGGCCGCAGCCGCCGACTGCAGTTGCCGCCGCCGCCGACAGCAGGGGCCGCCGCCGCTGTCCCGGCCCTGTCCTGCAGAGAGGAGCGGCGCTGTAGCGGCCCTGTCCCTGCCGACGCGCCTCGGCCCTGCCCCACCACTTGCGGCACTCTACCCACCTGCCCTGGTAATTGCACCGCCGAGCTGCGCCCCTACTCTTGCTACTGTTGCTGCTGCCCCTAGCTTGGTGCAAGTGCTGTCATGGCTACCCCTAGCGTTCTCGTCTTTGATGCTGAGGGTAGGGCTGTTGACTTTGAGGTCTGGGTCGATGATCTACAGCTTTTCCTACAGTGCGATAGGAAGGACGGTCTCTTAGTGTTCGATCTCACGTCTGGCGCCTCTACTGCCCCTGCTGCCGATGCTGACAGCACTATTCGCTCACAGTGGGCCACACGCGATGCTGCTGCCCGTCTTGCTGTGCGTAGTCACTTCCCGTCCTCTGAGCGCGCGCACTTCAGTCAGTACAAGAGTGCTAGGACCTTGTACGACGCTGTAGTCGCACGCTACTCTTCTCCTGCCACTGCTGCCCTTAGCCGCCTCATGCTGCCGTACCTGTTCTCTGACCTTGCCGCCTTTCCCACAGTCGCTGACCTCATTACGCACCTTCGCACTAGTGACACCCGCTACCGCGCTGCGCTTCCTGCTGAGTTCTGCGCCAAGAACCCCCCCCCCCATGTACATCACCCTCTACTACATCGTCACTCGGCTCCCTGACTCCCTTCGCTCGGTCAGGGACCACTTCCTCTCTGTTTGCCCCACCACACTCACCGTTGACCTCCTCGAGGAGCGCCTCATGGCAGCTGAGAAGAGTATAGTCGCTGTAGGAGCCTCTTGTGGTGGCCATCGTGCCCCCTTCTTTGAGGGGTGCTCCCTCTCCCCCCTTTTGCCCTCTGTTGCCTCTGCTGCTGCCGTCGACTTCGTTGGCACCGAGCCGGTCGGCGCTGCGTCTGCCCCTAGCGGGAGACGCCGCACCGGCAAGGGCAAGGGCACTAGAGGGGCTGGCGTGGGCGTTGGAGGTGGCGGTGGAGGCGGCGGAGGGAATGGGGGTGGCGGTGGGAGTGGTGGCGGGGGTGGGGGCTTCGGTGGTGACGGTGGAGGCGGAGGCGGTGGCGGTGGGAGCGGAGGAGGAGGCGATGGCGGCGGTGGCGGAGGTGGCGGCGGCAGAGGTGGAGCTGGTCGGGGTGGCTCTGCGCAGCGGAGCAGCTTCGGTGGTGGTCAGCGCCAGCAGCAGCAGCGCACCCATGAGACCCCTCCCCCCCATCAGCTTCTTGAGTGGTACGCTGCTCGTCAGCGGGGTGGGGTGCTGGTTCTTGTGCCTATGTCCTGCGTACCGGCGACCGCAATGGTGAGCCGTGTGGTGGCCCGCACACCACCCAGCGGTGCTTCGGCCGCCTGACGGACGCTTGGCGTCTCCATTTTCCTGACGCCACTGAGATCCCCCGCTGGGGCGAGCTGCTTAGGTCGGGGGTTGCTATCTTTGATCTGGATTATGATGCCATTCTTGCTGCCATGTATGTTATGTCTACTAGTGATGAGGGTGACTGTTACCTGTGTGTTCTGCCTGACTCGGGCATTGAGGCTGCTGGTCTAGGTGCTGGTGAGACAACTGCTCTAGGTGCTAGAGCGTCAGCTGCCCCAGGTACTGGTGCGTCTGCTCTCTCAGGTACCACGTCGGCTCAGGCCTTACACACCTTCACCCTTGACTCAGGTGCTTCCCGCTCCTTCTTTCGAGACCGCACCACGCTTACGCCGCTTAGTCGGCCAGTTGCGGTCTCCCTGGCGGACCCCTCTGGGGGTCCTGTCCTTGGCCACTTCTCCACTGTCTTACCGTGTCCGGCGGCCCCCTCTGGCACCCTGTCAGGTCTCTACCTCCCCTCGTTCTCTACGAACTTGGTGAGTGGTGCTGATCTACAGGATGGGGGGGTTGACCAGTTCACTCCTGCGAGTCAGCGGGCGACCCACTGTACGTGTGCTCGGACGGGCGGACACTTGGCCACGTTTACCCGTCAGCCGGGGTCAAGCCTGTACACACTGACTACTGAGTCTCCTCCGGTTGCTGAGTCTGGTCAGGTAGCTGCGTTGAGTCAGGTGTTTGCTGTAGCGTCCAGGTCTGGTCCTTAGTCTGCTCCCTGCTCGTGTCGCCTACTGTCCTACCAGACTCTCCTCTGGCACCACCGCCTTGGTCACCCCTCTCTGCCTTGTCTCCGAGGCATGGCCTCCCGTGTCCTTGTCTCTGGTCTCCCTTGGTCCTTCCCTCCCCTCCCTCCGGGGCCTGCCCCTACCTGCGTTCCCTGCGTCGAGGGGCGGCAGCGCGCCGCCCCTCACTCCTCCGAGTTTCCTTCGACAGAGGCTCTGCTGCAGACTCTTCACATGGAGGTGTGGGGCCCCGCCCGCGTCCGTGGCCAGGGTCACGAGCGTTACTTCCTGTTGGTGGTTGACGGCTACTCGCGTTACACCACGCTGTTCCCCTTGTGCAGCAAGGGTGACGTCACTGAGGTGTTGATTGACTGGATCTGCGCAGCTCGTCTCCAGCATAGAGAGAGTTTCGGCTCGGACTTTCCTGTTCTGCTTCTGCACTCTGACAGAGGCGGGGAGTTTTCCTCAGGCCTTCTGGGAGCCTTCTCTCGTGCACAGGGCATCCGCCAGACGTTCACGCTTCCGGCCTCTCCACAGCAAAATGGGATTGCTGAGCGCCACATTGGCATGGTCATGGACGTCGCTCGTACGTCCATGATCCATGCGGCTGCTCCCCATTTTCTGTGGCCGTTTGCGGTTCGGTACGCAGCGCATGAGATCAACCTTCAGCCCTGGGTCTCCTTGCCAGAGACCTCCCCCCACCTTGCGGTGGACGGGGAAGGTTGGCGATGCGTCTGCGTTTCGTGTCTTGGGATCTCGGGCGTTTGTCTGCGACTTGTCTGCGGACAAGCTGTCCCCCCGTGCTGTTCCCTGCGTCTTCCTTGGCTTCCCCCTTGACGTGCCTGGTTGGCAGTTTTACCACCCCACCTCACGCCGTGTTCTGTCCTCTCAGGACGTCACCTTTGACGAGTCGGTTCCTTACTACCGTCTCTTCCCCTACCGCACTGCGCCCCTCCCCCCACCGCCGCTCTTCCTTGTGTCAGGTCCCCCCCCGGTAGACCCTCTCCCCCCTCAAGGTCTTGCCCCGTCAGGTGTGTCCTAGGTAGACGCCGTCGAGCCTGTCTAGGAAGCTGTTGACTCTGGTGCTGCTAGGGGTGCTGAGCCTGGGGGTGCTGAGGCTGGGGGTGCTGAGCCTGGGGGTGCGGAGCCTGGGGCTGCGGAGCCGAGGGGTGCTGAGCCTGGGGGTGCGGAGCCTGGGGGTGCTGGGTCTGGGGGTCCTTTGGGTGCTTCGTCTCGGCAGGAGCTACCCTCTCCACAGGAGCTGTGCGACTGGTTTGCCCGGCGCTGGAGCCGTGCTGCTGGAGCTGGAGGTGCTACTATTGCTGCTGACCCTGGGGTCGGTGCTGGAGGTACTGGAGCCACTGGTCCTGGAGGTGCTCGTACTGGCGGTACTAGAGCTGCTGGGAATGGGGGTGCTGCTGGGGCTGCTGGAGTTGGTCCTGCTGGAGGTGCTGCGGGTGCTGCTAGAGGTACTGGAGCTGCTAGGGGTGTTGGCGCTGGAGGTGCTGCTGGCGCTGGTACTTCTGAGGGTGCTGGAGTTGGCGCTGCTGGAGCTAGAGGTACTGCTGGCGCTGGTGCTGCCGCTTGGGGTACTGGTGTTGTCCCTGCTGTTTCAAGAGGCGCTGAGCCGCCGCGGCCGTACTTCGTTCCGCTCCTTGAGTAGGTTCTTGGTCTCCCGCCTTCTACTTGTCCTGCTCCTCCTTTAGAGTGTCCACAACCTGTCCAGTCGCTCTCACTGTTACAGCCCGCCTCCCCCCTGCCTGCTCCTTCTCCCTACACTGGTCCTACTGGAGGTCTTGCTGAGCGTCGTGAGCCTGCGTCTTGTCCTGCGTCGCCTGTTCGTGCTGCTCGCACTAGTAGTCCTGTTCCGCGTCCGCGTCCTCCTGCGGTCCCAGGTACACACCAGATGGCACTGCGTCCTTCCACTGCTCCTCTGCGTGTCCCGTTGCCGTCTCCTCCAGAGTCCTCTCTTCCTGTTCTTGCTGACCCGGAGTCTGACTCTCTTCGTGCTGCTAGTCCTACTGTCACGCGTCTTCTGGCTACTGTTGTCACGGACCCTTCCTTTGAGTCCACTGCTACGTCATCCTTAGTTCCTGAGCTTGTCGACTTTGCTGCTCGCTGTCGTCTAGACTACACCGCTTGTCTTGTTGCTGAGTCTGAGTCTGTCTATCCTCCGTCCGTCGGGGGTGAGTGTGCTCTTAGCGCGGACGTCCTTGAGGACAGGCAGGAGGAGGTCCATTGTTTTGATGCTACTTTGCCTCATCTCGTGTCCATGCTGATTGCCCCTGAGGGAGACTCGGATGCACCAGACATCCCGACTCCTTGATCGTACGCTGAGGCGATCGTGGGTCCCTACTCCTCTCAGTGGTAGTCAGCCATGAACGCAGAGATGGCTTCCTGGAAGTCCACAGGCACCTACGTCGACGAGGTTACCCCACCTGGGGCGAACATCGTTAGTGGCATGTGGATTTTCAGGGTGAAGCGGCCGCCGGGTTCTCCGCCTGTCTTCAAGGCGCGTTACGTGGCTCGAGGCTTCAGTCCACGGCAGGGAGTTGACTGCTTTCAGACCTTCTCTCCCACCCCGAAGATGACCACTCTTTGGGTGCTGCTGCACATAGCCGCTCAGCGCGACTACGAGCTTCACTCTCTTGACTTTAGCACAGCTTTCTTGCAGGGCAGCCTGCACGAGGAGATCTGGCTGCGCCGCCCACCTGGCTTCACTGGGTTGTTTCCTCCTGGTACCCAGTGGAGCCTCCGGCGGCCAGTCTACGGTCTCCGCCAGGCACGGCGTGAGTGGCACGACACACTGAGGACTACACTTGCGGCTCTTGGGTTTGCTCCTTCTACTGCCGACCCGTCGTTGTTTCTGCGCACCGACACCTCTTTGCCGCCGTTCTACATCCTCGTGTATGTCGACGACTTGGTCTTTGCCACTGCTGACACTGCTGGACTCGCCCACGTGAAGTCCGAGCTGCAAAAGAGACACACGTGCACAGACCTGGGTGAACTGCGCAGCTACCTTGGCTTGCAGATCACCCAGGACAGAGCACAGCGCACCATTACCCTGACTCAGTCACACATGGTGCAGCAGGTCCTTCAGCGCTTCGACTTCACGTACTCCTCACCTCAGGCCACTCCTATGTCTACTCGCCACTCGCTCTGAGCTCTGCCTTCGGATGAGTCCGTAGAGCCTAGTGGCCTGTACCAAGAGCTTGTTGGCTGCCTCATGTACCTAATGACCTGCACTCGACCTGACCTTGCATACCCTCTCAGCATCTGGGCTCGCTATGTTGCTCCTGGGAGATACGGACCAGAGCACATGGCTGCAGCGAAGAGGGTGTTGCGCTACTTGTGCAGTACGTCAGGCATGGGGCTAGTGCTTGGAGGGCGGCGTTCAGTGGTCCTCATCGGTCACGCAGACGCTTCTTGGGCTGACGACCACGCTAGACATCGCTCGTCACAGGGTTACACCTTCAGTCTTGGTTCCGGCTCTGTTTCGTGGCGGTCTACCCGCTCGGCTTGTGTTCTCGGCTCCAGCTGTGAGGCCGAGATCTACGCAGGGGCCATGGCTGCACAGGAGTTACGCTGGCTCACCTACCTGCTGACCAACCTGGGAGAGCCGCCTTGTTCTCCTCCAGTTCTGTACGTAGACAACAAGGCCATGCTGGCCTTGTGTCGGGAGCACAGGTTGGAGCACAGAATGAAGCACATTGCTCTTCGCTACTTTCTTGCTCGTGAGCTGCAGCAGCGTGGTCAGCTGCGCCTTGCTTACGTGGCCTCTCGGGCCAACACTGCTGATATCTTTACCAAGGCACTTCAACCTTGTGATCATCAGCGCTTCTGTACGATGCTAGGTCTTGTGCCTACTTGGCCTCACTTGCTCACTTCTTGACCTTGCTTGTACTGTGATCTATCTATATCTGCACTTGCTTGTTTACCATTATATATATTCCTGCATGTGAACTGGCCTTATGGCCTTGACCCTATGCTCGGACTGTGTGGTGACGTTGTGATCCACCCTGAGCTTGCTTTGTTTTGCTTTGCTTGACTGGTCTTGTGACCCCTAGTTCTCCCCCACTTTGCCTATGGGGGTGTGTCAGATATATATGACTTAGCCTATGTAGGTTGTAGTGGGGTAGACTCTAAGGGGTACAGGTTTCTAGGGTTTCACATTTGTATCCAACTGTTTCCTAGTTCATTCATTCCTCGTTCTTTCTCAGTATATCTTCAAAAACATTAAGAGCCAGAAATAAAAAAGAAAAAGCCTCCGATCCAGTTACCAAGATATACGTCAATTCACACCAGTAACCAACGCATGAAAAATGTTTCTATGAGTAGCATCAAGTTTGTAAATCATAGTACATATATAAACGATAAATATTCACGAATGATATTCATGAACACAAAAAATGCAGGTGTTACGGAGTACGATGTCCAAGGGATACAAAAAGCCCAAGGGTCGAAAAAGGTTACGGTCACCGCTGCTGGCATAAACATTTGAATTGTGAAACACGGGAGCACTTGGAGCTTCGGGCTAGAGCTATTGTTGTATGCATGCCTAGCGACGTACACTCACGACACCAGATTGCAGTACTATAGCTCAACTGGCTCATGACGTACAACATTCTGTTACGGAACATATCGTCGACAAAACATATCGGCATTCACTCATTCTAGCCGAAGCCGGCTTTGACACTGGAAGTTTGGAAGTACCCACAAAGTCGTATTAACTCTAGGACTCCGCGACGTCCCCTGTCGATTGCCTTGTCGATTGGACTGCTCCCCTATCGAGTTGACTTCTCCTGCTGCCTCCTTCTCCACCAGCTCCCCTGTCTACTGCTTCCCTGTCGTCAACGGCTCTACATCCTTGTGGACGAGCTTGGAATCTCGTCGGCCGCTGGCAATGACACTGGCCGGCGCCACAGGCGACGCCTCAAGGCTCCCCTCATCACCGGCGGCCGAGACTGGTGTCGATGCAGGCCACAAAGGTAGGAGGAGCAAGAACAGGGGGCGGAGGGAGGACTTCCCTGACATCCTCTTCAGCAAGCTCGTTGACCTCCGTAAGCAGAGGGAAAATCGCCGTCGAGGTGTTTGCAAGCGGGTGTGCCTGCGTCCGCCCCGACGTCAGCCCATACTTTGCCTTCCACACCTCCAGCGACAACGCCTCACAGAGATCACCTCGACCGACGTGACCACCTTCTTGCTGGTCAAGTCCAGCACCTCCGAGCCCTTGCGAGGGCCCAGGTGAAGTCCCTAGTGAGCCCCTTGTTCTCGGTTAGCGCCCTGCAGTATCTCCATTCAAGTCTAAGCCTGTGAGCACAGTTGTGACAAAGATGTATTATGAGATTGTGCTCCTATGTTTCACAATTTTGTGCAGATGCTCTGACAAAGTAGTGTGTTCGCTGTCTCCCTGGGACCCATTTTCCCCTCCATTAGTTGTTGGAGTACCAGCCGAACTATTTCGACGATGGGACCGGCCGGGTGTGCAAGCTGCTGAAGAGCCTCTACGCGCCTCTACGAGCCTCTACGCGCTCTACTTCAAGGACGGCGACGATGACCTGCTAGGTGCTGGTCTATGTCGACGACCTGCTGTATGCCAGCAGCAGCACCATGATGCTGAAGGAGCTGCTGGAGGCCACCTTCAAGCTGCACGAGATCTCGTCGGTCATCAAGTACCTCGGATTGGAGATCCTGTGTGACAGGCTAGCTAGGAAGCTGTGGCTTCACCAGCAAAACTATGTCGCTGCTATTCGCGGCGACGACGACGAGGCATGACATCGCGTTCGCCTGCAGCAAGCTGGGGAGCGGCCTCACGGTGAGGAGTGACCAACACTGGCACGAGGTCGAGCATTGCCTCGCATACCTCGCCAACACGTGCGACACCGCCCTGGAGTTCGGCAGTGGATCAGATTCGCTGAAGTTGGTCGGCTACGTGGACGTCGACGACGCCGGCAACAAGCAGGAGCGGACGAGCACGGGCGGCTACGTGTTAGTCTACGGAGGGGCTGCAGTCTCCTAGTCGAGCCAGCGCATCAAGTGCGCGATGCTTTCGTCGACCGAGTCGGAGTATGTGGCGGCCACTAAAGCCGAGAAGGAGGGATGCCGTCTTGACTTCCTTCTTGCAGAGTTCTGGCAGCTGGATGCTAGGACGCCAACTGTCCTTCGGGTGGACAACAAGTCGGCCATCACAGTCGCCAAGGGCATGGGGTTGATAGGCAACCTCAAGCACATGGAGCGCCGACAAGCCTGGCTGCAGCATTTGGTGAAGCGCGGGAAGTTCACGCTGAAGTACATCCCGACCACCAAGCAGCCGGCTGACTTCCTGACGAAGGCGCTGCACTATCCATCCTTCAACCGGTGCTCCATCGTAATCGGCTAAGTGCGCATGGCTGATATGGGCAACGGTGACGACGACGTGCAGCAGTAGGTGCCATGCCTTCTTGCATGGCTGGTGCGGTGGCTGGCGTGCTGTGTGTTGGGTGCACGCGGACGAGCTATTCTCCAAGTGGTGCTGCCAAGCGTGAACGCGGCAGGGGAGTGTCATTGGGAATTGTGGTAGGCCCCATCCTCGCTTGGGCAGAGCCGACTTCGTGATCGGGTATGAGGGGTACAGCCGACCTCCAGCAGTGGGTGAGCTGGTCAACGGGGCTGGTCGACATGCACAGGGGCCACTGCAAGGGCGCCAACTTCGAGTGGGCGCCAACTCTAGGTGGTCGACTTGGGAAGTTGACCTGTGGAGGGTGTCGACCTGGTAACGCCGACTTGGGACAACCGACGTGGTGTGATTGGCTGTGGATGTGTTGGTCGACCTGAAGCTTGTCGACTAGGAGTGTCGTTGACCTGAAGCTGGTCGACGAAGGGTGTGGTCGACCTAGTGATGTTGACTAGAGGTGGTCGTCAACGTGGGTGGTCGACGGGCACATGAAGGAGCAGCTCGTGGATGTGGTTGCCTGATCGACCGGGCTACCTGGGTGACGAGGTTCAGCTGTGAGAGTACGACGGCTTATGCCAGCTATGCTTGCTTGCCTCTACTTTATTATGCTATTTCTAGCATAGGATAATCATATGCATGCATGAATTGCTTGATTTCCTAGGCTAGGTGCTTTCCTATATTTTATTATAGTTATAGCACCGAGCTAGGTTGCGTGCACCGAATTCTGGCCTTTTCGGTTGCCACCGAATTGCCTTCTACCGAATTCGGTAAGGGTCTGTTCGGGACGCTACGCGGCCCGCGGAACCTTCGCGTAACACCTGGTTTCGGGACTTTGTGTCGAGCCTATATATAGCCTCGTGTTGTACCCAGGTGATCATATTCAATTCCATTCTCTTTTCTGAGCTCGATCCTAGATCCTCACACTTGGTAATCAGAGCCTGTTTAGAAGCGAAGTTTTTCGACCGCTAAAACCTAGCTTTTAAAACCGTGGGGGCGACGACGGGAAGCGCCGATTTCGGGTACGTAAACCAGTTCCGCGCCATTTTCTAACGTCCCCCTCGAACCGGTTTTTGAGCACTACTCAGGTCCAGAAGCGAAAAAGTTGGAATTTCGACCGTCGGATCGATTCGAATCTCAACGGCCCTGAGAATTTCGCCCAAAAAAGTTGGAGTTGGGAGCGCCGGATTGAATTTCTTCTCAACGGCCGAGATCAGACGCGAATTTCGACTAAGGGAGAATAGCGCGACCTACAGAAACATCCCTCGTCATTTCTGCAGTCAACTCGACTCACAGTAAGATGACCAGCGCCTGAAATTCATTTATTTTCGTCGCAAATCTTCCTATAAATCGCCAAATGGAGGAAAACGGTGACAATTCCAACAGCAGTGGCGACAACTACGCGACCACGAGCGACGTCGCGAGCCTCCGCACCGACATGGAGCAGACGCAGGCGACGCTTCGTCGACTCGAGGCTTTTTTAACAAGCCACCCGGCGCTCGCCACGACAGCAGCAGCGACTACAACCACTGCAGCACCGACAATTCCAACAGCAATGGCACCACCAACGCCGAACCTCGAAGCAGCACGACCGAGGCTCTCGGAAGCGTTCGATCCAAGCGCAAAGGGATCCGACGTCCGGCGTTTCGTGGCAATCCTCGAGATCTACTTCGAGGTCATTGGCTGTTCGACCCCGACATACGACGCAGCACGAATCTGGCTAACAGCAACACTGTTACGCGGACCAGCACTCGAGTGGATCTACAACACTGACGTGGCCCGCGGGGAGAAAATGTGGCAGCAGTTTCGGGCAGAATTTATCGGGCGTTTCGAACCGGTTAATACTACCTATATGGCGCGGCAACAAATTCATCGGCACAAGCAGTACGGCAGTGTAGCGCAGTACACGCAGCAGATGGAGCTCTTGTTCACCCGCATCCCCGACCTGACCGAAGGCGAAAAAATCACGGCATATACAGAAGGGTTAAAATTGGGGGTTCTGCGGCAGGTGATCGCGTCAAATCACAAAAGCTACAAGGACATCGTGCGTGCAGCCGAGCGTTACGACGCGCTGACCCGAAGTCAACCCGAAACACGACGTTTCACGCCGAACCGTACATTCGGCACGGAGCGATCGGCACACCCCACGTTCGCCGAACCGATGGATATAGACAAATTCGACGCGAAGCGGCAGCTGACCAAATGCGAATTTTGCGGTGCAGCAGGGCATCAGATTTTGTCGTGCTACAAGTTGAAGAAAGTACATGCGATCATGCAGGACGGTAACAGTGGAGCACCCCCGAAGTAAAAAAACGGGAATCGCCAGTAGCCGCGGATCGAACTGGCGATCGCGTAAAGATCCGATAAGCGAAAAAGGGCGACGACGTGGCGACTTCGGAGCGGGCGAAAAAAGGAGAAAATGATGGCGCGAATATAAAACGTCACTACCGGCCGGCAACAGG